CACATTCCAGCTGATAAAGGATCTTCGGTATAAGTAGGAGATTATGCTCACAGGACTGGAGACCGATCACCTGTAGGCTTGATGGACCAGTGAAACAGGGATGCATCTGAGTGTTCAATCAGGGTAAAAACTCTGCTTATGACATCTGGCCAGTGCCTAGAAAAGTTCCTTTTTGGGCTACAACTCATTCTGACTTGGAAATTTAGGGGATTGTCATCAAATCAACCCTGAATGCTCACTGGAAAGACAGATCCTGAAGCTGAGGCTCCAGTACTTTGGCCATCTCATGAGAAGAGAAGACTCCTTGGAAAAGACCCTGATGTTGAGAAAATGTGAAGGCAAGAGGAGCAGCGGACAACAGAGGGCGAGATGAATGGATAGTGTCACCAAAGCTACTAACATGAATTTAATCCAACTCCAGGAGGCAGTGGAAGACAGGAGGGCCTGGCGTGCTCTGATCCATGGGGTCACAAAGAGTCGGACATGATTTAACTAATGACTAAACAACAACATTTATAAAGCTTATTAAGTACATTGAAATTCTGGACTTGTTACCTCCAAAATAAACCACCCTCAGAAAGCAGCTATATATAGGAGTGCAGACTTTAAATACACATTTTATACACTGCATAAAGTATATACAGTACATACATTTCACTTATTTGAAATGTAGTGTTGGAAAAGAGTTTTACAGATAGCATGACTTGTCAGAAAGATAAGTAAAGCAAATTAAGTGTGGACTTTCACTACAAGCTAAAATAACCAAACAAAGGGTGCTGTACTACCATCATAAGAAGAGAAGCTCACTGGAAACGGCAGCAATGCAAGAAAAAGTGCAAAGCAGTAGGAAAAGAGGAAGACTGCACATGAGATGGATTGACACAGGAGGTGTGGGGCATCGTACCATCAGTATGCTGATGACACTCAGCTCTACATCTCCTTTTCTCCAACCACAGTGGATGCAATTCTGTCCCTTCAGCGCTGTTTGGAGACTGTACTGCAATGGATGCAGGAAAATAGGCTGAGGCTGAACCCGGACAAGACGGTCCTGAGGGTGGGTGGCCCCACCATCAGCGGTTTGGGAAACTCCCTCTCATTTGGGAGGGGGGTAACTCTCACTGTGAAGAGTGAGGTTTGCAACTTGCAGATCCATCTCAACCCAGCATTCACCATGGAAACCCAGGTGGTGTCAGTGGTCCGCTCTGCCTACTTCCATCTTTGGCAGATTGCCCAGCTGCATCCCTGTCTTGATGTTGGGGCGCTCACCACTTTGGTACATGCACTTGTAATCTCGAGATTAGACCACTGTAATGCACTTTATGTGGGGCTACCTTTGAGATTGATGCGGAAGCTTCAAATGGTGCAGAACGTGGCGGCCAGACTTCTTAGTGGGGCACCCTGGCTGCATTGCATTGTTTGCCCATTCATTTCCACATTTATTTAAAAGTCTTAATGATTACATATAAAGCCCTAAACAGTTTAGGACCTTGACATCTGGCGGAATGCCTCCTCCCACCTAGATCTGCCTGTATCACTTGATCTAGCCAGGAGGTGCGGTTGAGGAGCCTAATGGCGAGGGAGGCCCGGAAGGAATAAACAAGAAACCGGGCCTTCTCAGCAGTGGCTCCTTGTCTTTGGAATAACCTCCCCTTAGAGATCCGCATGGCCCCTTCATTGGATATTTTTCCTTGGAGAGAAGGCCTGGCTATTTAGGCAGGCCTTCGCTCTGAGCACCACTTGATCTATGTTTTCTTTTTTCCTTCCATCTTGAATGATTGTTTATTGCTGTAAACTGTTGTTAAGTTTTAACTGTTTTATTCTACTTGTTGTAAGCCGCCCAGAGTAGTCAACGACTAGATGGGCGGGATATGAGTATATTAATAAATAAATAAATAATATTGACTTGGTCTCTGCAGATCAGTTGATCTTATTACCAATGGAAAATCAGCCAACAAGGAGTCTGTAAGTGTGTTAGATCCCACACTGCATGCACACAAGAATACTGGATTCTGCCAGATTTCTCTAGGGCAGTGGTTTCCAACCCTGGGTCTCCTGATGTTTTGGGACTGCACCTCCCAGAGGTCCTCACCAGCACAGCTAGTAGCAAATGTTTCTGGGAGTTTCAGTCCAAGAAATCTCAAGACCCAAAGCTGGGAATCACTGCTCCAGGGGTAATTGTGTTATACCACTGCTGCAGTGGTATCATTGTGACAACCTCAACAGACACCTTTCACAAGGTGCTTATGTCCTTTGCACATGTCTTGGAATATCTGCTGCAGCAAAGGCCATTGTAGTGGTGGCAACATGGTAACAATAGTGGGAGGAACTCTACTTTTATCTGTAAATATAGGAAAATGAGCTAAATCTTGGCGAATCCTACCAAAAGCCAACACCTTAAATATTACTTATCAGAAGGAATTTGTTACCATTACATTTTTTTAAATGACACATAATTTTTTACATAGCTTGCTGCTCTTTATTCAATCTAACATGTTATTTATTAGGAATAGGGCCATAGTGACTGGCCAGCTATGAGTATTATAGTAAAAAGAGAAAGTAACATTTCCAAGCTCTGCATGAAATCCAGAAGTTTGATTGACTATACAGTACATCAGAACAGTTGTCTCTTTAGCCTTAGATGATACTGCTGTTATATGACCAGTGTATACAATCAACTAGTTCCTCTGGTTTCCTTTAGCACTGCTTGTGTTGCTGTTGAGCATCTCAGATTCCTGTAACCTGTACACCAGGTTTGTCACTGATGTCTTTTGGAGGCTTTAATATTGCATAGTGGTACAAATGAGTCATGACTCTGAGTCCTACGTCTGTCCTTAGGGCATGAATTATGTACTTGACTGGGAGGAATTATGAAGCAAAACAAAGAAACTGGGTTTTGGCATTCATCATCCCACTGTTTTGTCATCATAGCAAAAACAGAGGAACAGACATATCCTTTTCCCTGATATGAACTCTGCAAGAGGGAATTGATCACCTGGAAATGTGACACTATTCCCAATCTTTTGTATCTGCTCTAGCTGCTGGGTTTGACAAATTACCTGTCAGTAAGAGAGAATGTACTAGCAACTGAGCTGAGTACATAAACTCTGTCGGAAGAAAAGAGCCAAATGTAGAAACCTGAGGCCTGCTGTTCCTGGCCTAAGTGCAACAATGGAGGTCAGAGTTAACATATAATTCCTTTATCCACAGCACAGGTAGAGGAAAGAGAGGGACCTTTGGGGGCCTTCCTCCACAGATAAGACAGCCAATTGCACATAATCAAAAAAATAAAAAATAAAAGGCTCTTTTCCAAAAAGAGAGGGGAAGAGAAAGAAAGAGGATAGATGATGCAGACAGGGCATAGGCTAACTTATTTGTATAAATGTCAATTTAGAAAATTACTATAGTTTTAACAGAAGTCTTAGTAGAAAAACATTTAGATTGACATTCTATGCTTTTTGTGTGTGCCCCTCCTGCATGGTATGGTTTGGCTGGGTTTTGATTTGTTCTGGCAAGGAGTCAAATTTCACAGAGGAATATCTGAATATCTTCACAGGGCTCTCGTCTTATACTGACTCCCTATGAGAGACTTATAGATTTGTGTTTTATATACAACTGGCAAGGAATTTGTTTGTAGTCTCAGAAGATTTGCACCCTCTCGTGTATTTATGATAGTTCTTGTGGCCATTTCAGCTCCTACATGTATGTTATTGTTTGTGTGCAGGCAAGTTGGCTGTTTGCTTGGCTGGATATATCAGTGAATAAACTCATCTGGCTGCAGAGCCGGAGGTTGGAAGTTTAATTCTCCATGTGCCTCCTGAGAAGAGTGCCAGCCTATGTAGCCTTGGGCACGCTGTAAAGTCCTGGAGGATGACCAGAAGAAAGAAATAATTAGGCTTTTCTGAGTGCTTAATACAGTACCTAGAAACTACTAAACTTTGAGATCAGAAGTTTATAATTTGCATCCAATTTAGAATGCAAACACACAAATAGTTCCAGAAGAGAAGCTCTAACGAGGAAATGAATTTCTTATGCAGACATTAAAGGATTGCTAAGATTTCCCAAAGAGAAGAAGTCTTCTAAGAAGTTACTTCTAAGGTAGAGTCTGCTCATGGGTGCTGATAAACTTTGTCATTTTCTGAGCAAACCTAGAGAAACTGGGAGGAAGGGATATTGAACTTTCCTCCTGCCTAGAAGAACCCACAGTCTCTTCAGATTGAGGAATTCTCTGATCTGGTGATCTCTGTGCCTCCCTAATCTGCTGTTTAGACACTACCTGCTGACAGGTAAAACCAAGGCCCCTGCTCTTCCATTTTATCATGCCTTATCTCTAAACCAGATGTTGGCTGGACAACTAATCAAGTTGGGGACATCACCAAACTGAGGACTCTCCTGTGGATAGTGGCCTCTTTTTTTTTAACCTGACTCCTAGGCCTTTGGCATGCAAATATATGCTTGAATGTGTGTGTCATTAATGTGTATTTCAACTTTCCTTTTGAACACTTACACAATCAAGGAAATGACTAAATAGGTTTTTCCATGGTCCCTGGCACAGCCACTTATCCTGTCCTAAACTAAAAATAAATTATGCAAACCGGTTGTTGAGAAAGTGAAAACTAAGCTAAATGAATGATGAGGAAGAATGGGGTGGGTGCCTCAGGCGGGGGCAGGGGGAACTACACATAACAATGGTGCGCAGACACCAAACATCAAGCTGGACCACTTTAGCTGAGTCCTCTTCAGAGGATGTGTGGCCTTAAGAGGAGGACACTAGAGCTAGGGAGCATCTCAAGGCCTCCCCGCTAGCCACCCTCTCCAAGGAACACAGGAGTTGGAGAAGGTGTGGGCCCAGTTCTTCCAGGAGATGATGACAGCTTGATGAATACAGAACCTCCTCACCCTGGAGAACGCCAGCAACTCCAGGTGTTAAAACAGAGAAGACAATCAAGGTAGCCTGGGCACTCGCAAGGTCAGGCATTTGCAGTAAATAACTAATCAGGTGACAAAGGGAAGGGTCTCAGGGCAAACTCGCATCCTGCCCCAATCTTCTTTGTGTTGGGTTGGCCTGAATTCCTGCCTGTCAATTTGTCTGTTGCAGCTCTCTTCCTCTTTGTTTCCTCTTCTTGGCCCTGTTGGGCTGGCCTTTGCATTAGGGTTTGACTGCTGGCTCTTCTCTCAGAATCTTACACATTCCTTGAAACTTGGCTCAAGCTACTCGGTGTTTGATCTGGGCTGGCTGTTGACTCCCTTGCACACTTGCTAGCTTAGCATTTGACAGCAGAATTGAAAGTAGGATTGAAGGGCCAGGTCAGCCTGCTCTCCTTATGATTCCAGAGCAGGTTTTCTCAAACAGGAAATTGTTTGCAGCAGTTTATGCCTCGAGGAACACATGTTTCCGACCTAATACTGGATCCAAGCAGAGGTCGTAAGGGGACACTAAAATAAACGAGTCAGAGAAATTTACTACAAAGAAATTAAAAATTCCCAAAATGTATTTGTCCCTTCTACTTATTTGCAATCAAACTGAGTATCTATCTGTGCATTCATCTCCCTTCCAAAAGCGCATCCAAAGGACTTACTTGCTCAATCAGTGTTCATTGTTCCCCGCTAAGCTTAGGATTTAAGTAAATCAACTTGCTGATTTCAGGATTTGAGTCTATTCTAACTTCACTTCTCTCTCTCCTCTTCCCTCACCCTCTCATTCCTTCAGAGCTGAAGCCTAGAGCTATCACAGACAAAAAAGAAAAAAGAAAAAAGGTGGGGGATAAAAATAAATAAATACATGAAATTATATGATGATTTTTAGTAGTCTGTAAAGGTGTTGCCTATTTTTGCATTTGTATTTTATTTTGTTTGGACCACACGGCTAACCCTTACTTCAATAAACACATGAAAAGCATCACAGATAGAATGATCAGCATGATCTGCTAATAAAGTATTCCCCATTCATTAGGCTGACTGGTTCTGTTGCTGCTAGACATCTTCAGCTTTATTTTAGTATGTTAGTTTTCCAACTGTGCTCTGAAGAACATAGGCTTCCTTACAGCATGACTACTAATGTATTTATTTGGAAAATACCAATACTACTTCTAATTTGAGCAACATCCTGAAGTAGTTTAGAATACCATGTGGTAGCTATAAGCTGGCCTGTCACATCCTTGTCTGCTAGTCCATCACTGTATCCATTACATCACACTGGCTCTCAGTGATACAAGAGCTATCTGCAGATACTTGAAGGGCTTTTATATGGAGGGTGGAGCAAGCTTGGTTTCTGCTGCTTCAAAGAGTAGGACCCAGACCAACAGATTCAAACTAGTAAGCACTTAATCTAGTGGACACAGGTGACAGTAGCACACTCTCCTTAATAGTACAAATACACTCCAGGCCATTACTAAAATTGGGCATCCAGACTGAGGACTGGATTCAGGAGTGGATCCAAGGTGCAGGCTTGTGTCTTCAACGGGAGAGTGATCACATCCAATCAAGGTTGAATCTAGAGTTTGGAAATGTTACATCTTTTGGTGGGGCAGACCAGCTCCCAGTACTGCAAAAAAGTAATGTTTCTAACATTTAATTGAATCCTTGCTTGCTCTTTCACAGCAAATTGAACTACTATTTGGTGGATCACCTAATCTCAGTCTTGCCTATTACAATGAGATGTATTCCATTTCTGCCTCGATTACTTATTTCTGCATTTGCAACTATACAGATGAATAGATGCCTGCAAATTTGCATCCTTCTTTTATCCTTTTGTTTGGCAGTGTGTAAGTCGCCATCTGGTACAGTGATAAAGCCAAAGCAACAACCATCGGCCCAAACTACAACATGTTCTTCGGTTCTGCACTGTATGAGGATATCTCAATTGGCAAATCTGTAAAGTTTCCTTGCCAGATGGGCTAACCCAGATGATTTTCTGGAACAGAGCTTGGAACACTTTCTTCTCGGTACTACAACTCCCAAAATGTTGCAGTCAGCATGCTTAGTGGCTATACTGGCCAAGGAGTTCCGGGAGCTGTCATCTCCCAGAAACTGTGCCAAGCTATGCCCTGGGATCAGAAGGCTTGGAAGTGAGCCTACCAGTAGAAAAAAAAGCCAGGCTTCTTACAGACACAGTTCTTGAACTAAGCTGATTTGTAAAAATAAAAATATGAAGAAGTGCCAACTCAAAAAGGCTGGTCTGGATTCACAGATGTAGCAAGAGCAACTCTTCCGTGCTCTAGAAATTGCCAACTGACACAAAGACACACGATAGCTATATCTGTAGCTTGACCGCCTCAAGCTTTTTATTTTGGATGCATCAGATGGTTTCTTTTTTAAAACTTTAGCAAGCGTGGAAATACTTTTCCTGTAAACCAGAACCATCTAGCCAACTCACACACAGCTGCAACTCGCACACAGCTAAGAAACAAGCAAATAAATTCCTGAGTCATCAAGGAATCATTTATTTAGTTGGCAGTAAAGGAATCCTAGCATACACAAGTTCTGCCGTGCACAATGACCTGACTTCCGTTTACTCTTAGGATCACCTTTAAGTTCTGCCGTGCACAATGACCTGACTTCCTTTTACTCTGTGATCTTTTAGGATCACCTTTGAGGAAAAAGAAACTTGCATTCATGGTCTGTGTTCCAAAATATTATGTTATGCAAGGATGGGAATGGAACACCAATCAGGAGGTTCTAGCCATCACTCCTGAGATGATGCTATCTGCGATGACCATGTGGTATTTTTGCAGTTTCATGACCTGATGCTAACAGCTGTGAAGTAGATGGATTCAAACTAAGGCATTGTGGTTTTACAGTACAAATAGCAGAGCCCTCTTGAATAAAGAACTCCTAGGTTTAAAGGCCCATTTAGCTCTTAAGCTCATGAACTTTTTAAGGGAAGGGTGCAATATAGCTAATGAGAAGATTATGCTTTAAATCACTTGTACGTTCTATTGGAAAAATAATACAAAAAGTGTTTATTTGCTTTTATCTATGGCCAGAAGCGCCAAGCCCTAGAGTTGGACATGACTGGACAAAATGTCAAGGGGAACCTTTACCTTTACCTTCGGTCAGAAGACATAGCGTTTCTCTTATCAGATTTTTGGTTAAACACTTTTATTTCCCAATGAAATTGTTAGGTTATGTAATGAACCAGTTCTATGCCTAACTCGGTATTTTCTAGAATTCTGGGTAGCCCATGAGCCTCTCTATCGTGGCCTCTCCCAATTTGAAGCGACCCTTGCCCAGCAGGCCGAGGCAAAGAGGAAATCACAAAAGCAGCAAAACCAGGGAGCTGGACAGGGGACAGATTGGATTTGTCTTCAGTGTGGAAGGGATTGTCACTCTCGAATTGGCCTCCTCAGCCACACTAGACGCTGTTCCAAGTCCTCCATACAGAGCACACTACCATAGTCTTTCGAGACTGAAGGATGCCTAACTCGTAATATAAGCCCTACCCAAAAATAAGCTCCAGTTGAGTTAATCCCCAGCCTCTACCATTGTGCAGCAACCAGAAGATGACATGACTGTATTTGAATAAATGTATATTGTTGCACATGCAAAAATTTAATATCCCCTGAAAATAAGCCTTAATGTGGGGGTTTTTTGGAGCAAAAATTAATATAAGACCCTGTCTTAATTTTGGGGAAACATAGTAGTCACAGACATGGCCTCTGCACAGTCCTTGCTTGGGCATTATAAGAGGAAGGCTGCATAGAAAATATGCCAGAGATAACAAGCACACAGAGCAAATTAAATTTAGAATGACAGCTGGCATCCTTTTCCACTAGTGAAGACATAATGGCACTAACTAGAATCAGGAGGGCTTTGTGACACACAGCAAGAAATTTATCTGGGACCTGGCAGCAGTGTGTGCCTGAACATCAAAACCTTGGATTTCTTTCCTGCCTTCTTTTTAAAAAGAAGCATGTTTCTAATCACAAGTGCTGCCTCTCGGTGCTTTAGAGAAAGACCTGCCATGATGATCAGCCGGGGTCATCAAAAGGACTGGAGACGGGACACAGGAAGCTGCCTTCTTACCAGCAGGAACAGTCTTTACCCATCAGGGAGAGTGAGGTGACTGTCTCCAGCTGTTCAGGCAGCAGTATCTCATTCCCTGGGATGTTAGGGGAAAAATTTGAGTCCAGAGTGTGGGTCTCTGTGATGTCACAATAGTGGGGCAGGCAAAGTGTGGGAGGGAGACTGGAACTGATTCTAGGCCAGCTGATTGTGAAAATAGGTACAAGAAAATATGAGAATCCAACTAGAATCCAACTAAACCCATCTAACCAGATGATACTGGTATTATTATTTATTTTATTTAATATATATATATTTAATATATAGGGGGGTTGTATGGTTTTAATTCCTGCCAACCTAGCAGTTTGAAAGCATGTAAAAATGCAAGTAGGTACCACCACAATCGGAAGGTAACAGCATTCTGTGTCTAGTCACGCTGGCCATGTGACCACAGAAACTGTCTTCAGACAATCGCTGGCTCTGTGACTTAGAAATGGGGATGAGCACTGTCCCCTAGAGTCGGACACGACTGGACTAAATGTCAAGGGGAACCTTTACCTTTACCTATAGTTTTAATTGTTGTGAGCTGCTTTGGGGAGCTCTTGTGGGGAGGAGGGCAGCATCTAAATAAATAAGACAAATACATTCTGTAGAACAGGACCAAGAAAAAAACAACCCAGCAGCTGGTCGTCATTCTTGCTAGGGAGTACATCCCATGCTAACTCACAGCATATGAGAGATTTGGGGAAAAGATTTTCCATGCCATGCATGGCTGCTGGGGCTACTGAAAGGTTCAGTACTACATCATGGAGAGGCTGTGTCCCCTGAAGCTCTGTGACTTTGCTGCCAGAGTTATGCAACAGGAAGGCTCCTAAGTTCTGGTGCTGGTACTCTACTCCTAGCCTGGCTCCCAATAGCAGGATGGGCCCTAATGCTGGAAGACAGCAGTGTCCTGAGATTCCAGCTAGGCAGAGATACCCAAGGTTACACATACTGGGAGATGGCAATGGCAGTCCTTTAGCTGTTCCTCAACCTTTCCTCCCCTTTGCAAGATAGAGCTGTGTGTGCCATTGGCCTAATCCTCAAACTGACCTATCGCCCTCAGGTATGAGGAAGGATGCTGTATCATGACCAGAAATCAGGCCTTTAAACTGGGCGAATGGATGCCATCCTGTCTTTTGTCTTGGGCAGAAAAATGTTTTTTCAGTGGCCTTATAGATATGTACTTATAGCAGTGGCATTCCAGTATGTATTTCAGGAATAGTTTTCTCCCCCTAAGCATATGGTCTTACTTCTGTTCCTAAGCTACAACCCCTCCCAAAATGAATTGCTGGTACACATGGGCATGGGAAACTTGCAGAGTCAACCCAGGTAGAGTGAGATAGTTGCCTTAGCATGTGATTTTAAATGTCACAAAGGGGAAAGCAAATGGCTATTCATTTATGTTGTTCTTGTGGACGTTTTCACTGCCTGGGAACAAGAGGGGCACTTTGGTGAAAAATAACTTGGAAGTCATTCAGTATGCAGGTGGCCCCTCACAGGGAGCAGCAGGAGAAAGAAAAGGAGGAACTAAATTTGCTTATACTGATTTATCAAACCACATTTAGAAATATTTAGGGGTATTTGTTCCTTTGCCTCAGGCCAGCTTCAAAAGCTGAGGTTTCAGTATTTGGCCATCTCACGAGAAGAGAAGGCTCCCTGGAAAAGACCCTGTTGTTGGGAAAGTGTGAAGGCAAGAGGAGATGGGGACGACAGAGGACGAGATGGCTGGACAGTGTCATTGAAGCGACCAACATGAATTTGACCCAACTCCGGGAGGCCGTGGAAGACAGGAGAGCCTGGCGTGCTCCGGTCCATGGGGTCATGAAGAGTCAGACACGACTAAACAACAACAAGCTTCAAATGTCTTAGGCCAGTCCCAGATGCCAGAGCCAAAACTGCAGCTTTTGGTGTACCAAGGATGTGTTCTACCACGGAGCTACGGAGCCCCCAGAAGGAGTGAGGCAGCCCTTCCCTTCGCTGCAGGCCTCCATTATTGGTTTTACCCCTTCCTTCTCATCCAGGGTGTGCTTTTGCCCTTGCCATATCATGGTGCTCCTCAGGCTAGCACTGTAGCCAGAACTCTTCCCAGATGGGGCATCACAGGATATTGGGGGGGGGGGGAGGAGATAAGAGCTTTGCTTAGAAAACAGGTTCTCAAATTTTGGGCCCTGGAATTTCTTGGACTGTGACTCCAAGAGACCCTGATCATTGGCTCTACTCGTTAGGACTTTTGGTTGTTGTTGTCCAAGAGTATTTGGGAACCACTCAAAGGGAGAGGGAAAGAGAAGCAGATGGGCAAAATTACAGATGAGAATGCAGGAAAGAGAGTCAAGACAAATAGCCGTTGCAACACTTCCTTATGGAAGATCAGGCTACTCAGTTTCCACCTTGAGGATAATAAGTCCCCATAGTAGGTATGTGTAGCCTTCCAAATAGTGTTGAACTGCAGCTCCCATAGTTCTTCACAATTGGCTGTGCTGGCTAAGGCTGATGGGAGTTGCAGTCCAACAATATCTGGAAAGTCATATAGTCCCCAATTCTGCCCCATGTAGCGCTTTCTTTCTCCTCACAGGAATGAATGTTTAGTAGTGTACCTATGTGAGAGAAACAAAGGAGTCCATATGTAAACAGTACTAGATGGGGGCTTCAGGAAATTAGTCACCAGATCTCAAATCTACCCCATTATGGGTCATTCTATACCATGAGAGAATGTTGATGACTACCTTTTTGTAGACTGACTGACCCTCTGGATAAGTGGCTTTCTGCATATCTGACTATCATCTTCTCACAAGCGTATATTGTTGGGAGGAATGTCTTTCTCAACTTTAGGTACAAAAATCCAATGTGAATGTTAACACCAGAACTGAATGAGGAAAATTCAACTTGTATATGCATGCTAGCTCACTGAACTGGGGGAGTTTATTGCTGCAACAATGGCAGGTCTTCTTTTCCCCCCTCCTTATCTGGCACGTGGTGGGGATATGGGGACGTGGTGGCGCTGTGGGCTAAACCGCAGAAGCCTGTGCTGCAGGGGCAGTCGTAAGTTCGAATCCACGCGACGGAATGAGCACCCGTCGCCTGTCCCAGCTCCCGCCAACCTAGCGGTTCGAAAGCATGCAAATGCGAGTAGATAAATAGGTACCATCTCGGTGGGAAGGTAAACAGCGTTCCGTGTCTAAATCACACTGGCCATGTGACCACGGAAAGATTGTCTTCGGACAAACGCTGGCTCTAGGGCTTGAAGAGCGGGATGAGCGCCGCCCCCTAGAGTCGGACACAACTGGACAAAAAAAAATTGTCAAGGGGAACCTTTACCTTTACCTTTACCTTATCTGGCATTGTGAGCTAAGGACAAATCTCTGACATGGGCTGTCTCAGCGGCTGGAGTGGCACACAGTATTCAGGGAACTGGAGATATTGAACAAATGCTGCACACCCATTAGACATAATGCAAGAGTGAGGAAACGTTGATTGACCAGCCCAGCATAACTAATAGTGTGTCTAACTCTGAAGTGTAGATTCTAGACCAGTGGTTCTTAACCTTTGTTACTCGGATGCTTTTGAACTGCAACTCCCAGAAACCCCAGTCAGGACAGCTGGTGGTGAAGGCTTCTGGGAGTTGCAGTCCAAACCTCCTGAGTAACCCAAGGTTAAGAACCAGTCTAGACCATGCAATTCTAGATTCTATGGTACATAAACTAGTCTAACTCTGAAGTGTAGATTCTAGACCATGCGATTCTAGATTCTACGGTACATAAACTGGAGTCCATATGCCACATGTGGCCCTGGGGTTTCATATGGGCCCCCCTTCCCAGAGGATGCTGAAGCCCACCCCCTGCCGAGGCTTAAAAACGTTATTCTTCTCATTGTGACATGAAAACACCCTCTTCACGGACACTCCATTCCATTCCAGATCAAGATTTCTCCTACTACACAATACCTTCAATATTCAATCGCCCTTCGTCTGCACTGGGCTCTTCCCCGTACACAATACCTTCAATATTCAATCGCCCTCGATCACAGCTTCGTCTGCATTGGGCTCCTCCCCGCTTTGTCTGTCATTTTGTTTCTTCCTCCCAACCCACTCCGCACATTTTTGTACTTCCTTGGATACATTGGAAACACAATAGATGGACATTGAAAGTCTCTGTATGCTGAATGTTCTCTTCTGGGGCTCCTCTTCTGGGCAGTCAGCACATGTATGCTGACTGGCTGCTTATTTGCCAATCTCTTCGCAGTTCTTATTTAATGCATAACCTCATTTCAATGTCATGAAGCAAATAACCTCTGGATACATTATATAATAAAAGCACAATTTGAAAATGGTTCAAATGCCGATTTGAAATAGGCAGCAGGGCACACATTCCATCAGCAAATTTAAAAAGTGACGGGAAGAAGCACTTAAGTAGGTCCTTAAATCAACTGTAGCCTTTCCTCAAATAGACTGTTTGTGAAATAATATTTAGGGTAAATTGGTTGGGATTTAGCCTGGGAGAAGACATTTCATTCCCATACGTTTTTCTTTGTGACTTAAAATTTTGTGTAGAGTAAGCCAGCCTACTCCAAACTGTGCTTCCCATATGGGTTCAAGTACAAATCTTATAATCCTCCAACCAGCTGTTATGGGAGTTGTAGATTACCATTTCAGGAAGACTGTGGTGGAAAATGGGATGATTTACACAATTCTTGGACCTTCGCCCAGAAGAATACCTAGATAGAGGTTTTTCTATGACCTACAGCAATATGCCTGTTGAATAATCAAGCAATGAGAAATCCAAAGGTGTTCGTGGCTAAACAAACAGGCCCATTTGCTTGTCTGTTAGGCTGATGCTTGTGAGCCAAACAAAAGCTGTATCAACTGATCCTCACTTATCCAAATAGTAGGCTGGACTCTCTGGATCAGCAAAGATGATCAGTGCAGACGGTACAGTCCAAACCAGGAAACACAGCACAAAAGGGCAGAAGCTCATTGGTAGAGAACCTGCTTTAGCTGCAGAAGGTCCAAGCTTCTGTCCTTGGCAGTTCCAAGCAGAGAAGGAAAGAATCCTGCCTGAAACCCTGGAGATTTATGGCTGCCAGTCAGAGTTGACAATACTGGGCTGGGTGCACCCATGGTCTGAGTCAGAGAAGACAGCTTTGTTTGTCAGCCTCACCACTTGTGATGCTCTTCTATTGGTATTGTAGTCCTCCTCTTATCACTCCCATATTCCCCTAAAGAGGCCAATCCAGGGACAAATTTGGGAGGGGGCATACTGGACTCCTTGTAACCCAGAGCTTGGAAGTTACATGTGATGAGTAATGAAAATGTAGTTGACCATGGCCTGAGCAAGGGGTATGTGTGTAATGCCTTATCCCATAATCCCAGGTTCAGATTCTAATTTACACTTGTTATTTAAGGGCAGAAAACTGGCCTGAAGACCTCAACAATGGGAATTCCTGCGGTCTACACTTTGAAGGGGCAATGTGGTCTCTTGTGACCCATTGTGGCTGTGCAGTAGAACACTTCACAAGCCGATGAGGGCAAGTAGAGCCCCCCCCCCAGGAGGAGGAGATGAATTTTCAACATCAGCTGCAGCAAAAGGTTGGTGTGTACGCCTATTCTGCTGTACAGGGTTCTTACACCGTGAGACCCTTTCTAAGGCCTTACCAATGATAAATTAAACACATCACAGCATCATGAAAAACATCACAGCTAGCCAGATGTGTGATCAAAATACAATTTCTTGCAATGTTTTTGCATGAAAGACATCTCAGTTTACCAGTAATCCAACCAACATAAAATTTCTTGCAATTTTACACATAAAAATAGACTGGTAAGGTCATGTCCACAAAAAACAAAAAATAAAACTTGGCAGAAAAACATGTCTAATTTTAAACCAAACCTTTGGAAACCCCCAGTGAGTTGTCAAACAAATTTTCTTCCCGAGGGAGAAACTTCCGCAGAGGAGGGAATTTAGGACTGCACTAAAATAATAATAAAAAATAAAAAATAAAAATCATCATCATCATCATCCCTGAGGGTAGCTGCTCTCTGGACACAGCTGTACTTTCCTTTCTCTTCATGCGCTGCAGGGAAATCCCTTAAACTAGTCATGTGTTCTAAACAAATGCCTACACATGATTTCAAGACCCTTCTCCAGGCCGAGGGGCTTCCACAGAAATTCTATTCTCTCTCATAATCTTCTTCTGTAGGAACATAAAAAAGCCCAGTTTAATGGCCAATTCATGCACCACTAGATTGAGAGAGAAAGAATACAAGGGGATACAGAAGTGGATGCAATTTTTAGATACTGATCTGTATGTATAAATGCACATTTATAAATAATTATTAATAAATGTTTAGTGATGTTCTGGACATCTCCTCGTCATGGGTGGAAGATTGCAGTCAGGCCAGTGTCCAGCTACTCATGTTTCATGGGCAGTTTCAAGGCTCCCATTGTCCCTCATTATGTCTTTTTATTGCAACTAGACAGTCCACAGAGAAGGAACACTTCCAAGTAGGTCCAACAGACTAAGTCTGTTCAAAATTCCTGTGGCAGAAAGGGGGAACCTTGAGGTGTCGAGCTTAATTGTTTAGTTTCCAGCATTTCTGATCTTCCTGAGAATTCCAAGGATGACAAGACACATGTGCAGTAAATGCGGGATCTGGCCTCTTTACCTGTGTGGACTATGGCCTGGTTTGAGAAGAACTAATTCAGGATTCTTCAAATTAACAAATACCCTACCAAAGCAGAAGGTGGAAATCCAACAGTTTTGCCTTGTGTATGGTGCAATGTGGAAAGACAAGAAGCGACTGTTCTACAGTATACGAATGATTATGGAATAAGCACGTGCAAAATTATTTTCCAGTGTTAATGATGTAACAACCATCTTCAGTATCCTATCTGAGGTGGTCCCCAACCCCACAACCTTGTACACTGTGCGTATAAAACTTCAGTTCAATATTGCATTCATGTCTGAAGAAATAAGATTGTAACACACAAAAGCTCTCTCAAATCAGTTAGTGTCAAAAGTATTACTGTTTCCCCTAAAATAAGATCTAACCAGAAAATAAGCCCTATTATGATTTTTCAGTATGCTTGTAATATAACACGTACCCCAAAAATAAGCCCGTTAAGTGAAACCCCGCCCTCCACCACTGTGCAGCAACCAAAAGATGACATGACTGCATTCTAATAAATGTAGATGGTTGTACATGACAAAAATAAAACATCCCCTGAAAATAAGCCCTAATGTGTTTTTTGGCGCAAACATTAATATAAGACCCTCTCTTATTTTCGGGGAAACGGAACAATCCTGTTGTTGTTGATGTAGTTGTGTTACTACACTTTCTATAGAAAAGAAACAGATGTGGCAATTCTCTAGTGGCTTAAGTGCTTAGAACTTGTCTGAACTGTGGTGTTGTTTGGTCATTGTGGGATTGATCTACATCATTATTATAATTTTTGTTGCAGATTTAAACAGATCATCCTGGTATTTGGGTCCACCAAGTGGGGGAATATTTGCTGGATATTCCAGCAAGTAACTCCTGTTCACAAATACTGTATGTGTAGTTTGTCCCTGATCTCATTCGCAACACATTACTCTCCCACTTCACTCTCTTCTTTGCTCCTTGAGGCATGGAGGGGTGGAGATTGACCAACAGAAAAATGCCCACAAAATTCATCAAATGTCACCACCAACAAAGTCCATGGATCAGCATAGAACACGGTACTAGGGTTCACATGAGCCGATCCTGCCCTGAAGGAAAGCAGAACACAAATGCACCACACCAACAAAGTCCATGGATCAGCATAGAATACGGTACTAGGGTTCACATGAGCAGATCCTGCCCTGCAAGTGGTGGTGCAAAACAAAACAAAAACTTCCAATTGTGGCTCTTGCATCTGGTCAGTTTGCCTTGAGAGAATCCAAAACGTTCTATGCAGGGATAGCTCCAGGCTTCAGGGAGTGTTTCCTTTGACGGCCATTGGTGGCCCTGTGAAGCCACAGTAACAGCACTCCAAGCAATGCTGTATTGTGGGATCTGGCTGCATTCTGAACTTCCAGTGATGTCCCAGAGAGAAGATAGATTGGTAAAGCTGTAGGAAATGAAAAGGGTGGCTCCTTGGAGTTCCAGGACAGAGGGGGGAAAAAGAATTGGGAAGGGCAAGGGCAAGAACCAACTCTGGGTTGTGGTAGCTACTCAAGAAGACCAGGTGCTGATGCCAGCTCTAGTCCTATTTTTACCATCCTTGGAATTTTGAATATGTTGCATCAGCTCCATCAGAAGCCAAAATTAAATAACAAGGTTTTTTTTAAAGGAGAGAAGAGAGTGGCCACAGAATCATAGGTTGGAAAAAATGCTGAGTTCCTTTTTCTGTGCTGAATTCTGACTTCTTTTTTAAAAAACTAGCCAGCTGTTTCTAATCTCATCTAAAACTGTAATGATCTCTGCTGCACCAGAGGAAAGAACTGACATGAACACAGGTATTCTGTATCAAAGCAATATATAAAAAGCATCCTTCCTGTACCCATTTTACCCCATTAACTCCATCTCCTCGTGGTGATAAATTTACCACTGCCAGCAAACCATCTCCATTTCATCTAACACAGAATGGATCATTCACAGCTTGGAATGCTGATTAAAATGTAATTCTTTAATGTATACAGTGAAATTAATTTGCTGTTAATACTAGGAAAGGTGGATTCTAATTCATTGTGCCATCATTCATTACTTTGCCAAATGAATTGTTCTAAAAAAAATATTGGATTTATAGAGAATGCCATGTTTCTCACTGTTGACCTCCTACTGTCACTTTCCATTTCTGACTCCTTCATACCTTCCCTTCCCCAGACTGACAGTTTTCAGATGTGCTGAGCTACATATCTTACAATTTAATGACAGGAATCAAGGGATTTGCAGTGCAACGTGTCCAAGAACTGCCAGACAGAGAAGGTCGTCCTAAAACATGGGCCCTAAAAATTAAGTTTGGTCACTGATCTATGTCTCTTTTTCCCACATGTATGACCTCCACTCACTCTTTAAACTTCATGGATTGTTTGTATGAGCTAGAAAAGATGCATAACAAACAATGTGTTCATTCTGGTTAAAAGACACTGATCCACTTCAGTACTGAAGTGCAGCAATAAAGGCTATAAATACTGGTTGGTGGATCAAGAACATTCTTCTTCACTATGTAATAATTTCATCTTTCTCCAAGAGTGATTAACAAAGCACAAAGGAGGAAATGCCATATCTCCACCCACCATCTCCCGTTGCTTGATGTCAGAGGTTACAAATTAACATGCATGCCGTGAACACGAATGGCGATGTTTTCTTATGAAGGTATAATGGTGTTTTTAAATGGCTATTTTCAGTATCTTTTTCTTCACAAGGACATCCAGATGCAAACTGAAAACAAATGGTTTATTAGAAAATTTTATACATAACAAAGAAGGTAATCTGCTTGATAATATTCAAACCATTAAAAGCACTAGGGTATTCTCAATGTACACCTTCTTTATGCTGAAATGAGAAAAATGCTGTATCAGCATTTCTAATTTGCCACTTTTCCAACACAACACAAGGCCTTCCAATCTTTCAAGCCCCCTTCAGCAACCAGCCTGCAATGTCTTTTTCCATGTTAAGCAATATTATCTATTTTCCAGTAGAAATCTGTTGATTTTTTAAATATATAGGTGCGACTCAAGAGTGTTAGTCATCGGGGCTCAAAAACATAAATTTACATGATCTCAATAACTGGACTGGGCACCCTCACCTTTTTTTTAGCTTGGCAATGCCTGATTTCTTATAATTATCCAGAAAGAATTATTATGAGAAATCAGGTCAATTTTCTCATTTGCAAACACACTGCCTCATTTTCTGCTGAATAGTTCTGCCTGCTCAAGGGGGATTATGTCACCAGTCGTGGCAGAGTGCTGTGGATTTAAGAATTCCCTTTTCTATTCCAGGATGCGTGGAACTTGTGCTCAATGATACAAAATTACATACATTTGATTTTTTTTAAACAGAACTCTTTAATTAGCAGCAATCCTCCTCTACTGGGAGTGCATCCCTGTTGCACAGATACACATTATACCAGCTACTCTGTAACACATGGTAATGTTTTACTGGTTGTATGTGTCTGCAAACACCCAGAAGCCTTTAACACACACTGCTACATCCGTTCCTCCAGTTTCCCACATGCCAGTGGAAAGGGCGGTTTCAGCAAAATGGTGGAAGGTGAAAGAACTCTGAGCAGAACCACTTCACTCAACCAACAGGCCAAATAAAGGCCTTCACTTGGCTGACTTTGGTGACCACACAGCATGTGCATTTTGGGACTAAGAAAAATACAAACATGTGTGAAGATGTACAATGGCTGCTGTGAAAGAAATACAGATGGCTTCTTTGGAGAAGAAGAGCATGAAGTGACCACATCAAAATAAACGGAATCCCTCTGACTTGGGCCCTTGAAAGACAGTGGTGTTAAAAACGGGAATAGGCTGTTCGCTGCTGAGGTTGGGGCTGCTGGGGTTGCTGGGGTGGCTGCTGTCCTTGCTGCTGCTGGAGCCTAATTTGCTGCGAATAAGGATCCTCAAGAGACTTAATCAACAGAGTGGTTTTTGGACCGGTCTTCCATATAATACCATTGAGATCTCTAACAGAAGACTCCACTGTGATGCTATGGGTGCCAACAATGATGAAGTTCAAAAGGAACTGTGTGCTGAAGTAGTCATTGTGAGGCTCGACCATCTGCTCCATCTCATTTGTCAGGCTGTCAGTAGGCATCTGAGAAAAAACAACAACAACAACAAGACTCAGGAAGACATTTTATGCTGTGCCACTTAAGGAGAACTCAGTTCTGCCACGCAGAACAAACAAAGGGTGGATTCTTTGACTTATAGAGGTGGGGCAAGCACACTGATGCCCTATACTTTCATTTAGCTGCTACATTTTAGCAGGTCTATGCAAAAACACAACACTCTTTCTTGAATTATTACCAGTTGCTCAGCTGTTCATGTAAAAAGCTCAAGGCTTGGAAACCTCTAACTGGTCATCCAGAAGATCAGCATTCTCTGACTTGGATAGATTTGTTTCCGGCTGCCAAACAGCTGTGAGTTCTTTGCCAACTGCAATGCTAAGACAGTTCACTGGGCTGCCAAGATAGCAAGTGACGAGAAGGATTATCTGTTCCAGACAACCTTTACCTCTAAGATGCATACATTCTCCTAAGTAAATAATAATACCCGGATGGGAAAATTTACCATGGAGACACAGTCTTCATATAGACCAGCTCTTATTCAAGGGTTTCATCTTCAACAGAATCAAAGTTATCACAAAAGTATAACAGGACAACCCGTCTGTCCCCCCGTCGAGTACCGAGTACTCAGAAGCAATTTACCGGTCCCTTCTTCTGATGCTGCTCAAGGTCTACACTCTCATTAAAACAGACATATGGAAACAGAAGGATAAAATTCTTGCTGACCAAAAAGGAACAGGGCCGGTCTGAGCTTCATGGCTGTCAAGAAACAGCTGTTCGCAGCTTGCAGCTCTTCATATTTCTTACCTTGTAGTCTTGTACAGATTTGCTTTGCAGTGTTGAAGATACATTTAGACAGATGGACTGAATTTTGCGAAAGAGGCCTGGTTTGGAGCCATGCTGAACCACTCCTTCTACCTTCAAGGCCAGCTGCTGGTTATTCTGAACTACAATGGGCTCAGCAGGATTACGCGGTGATGGTGACAGAGCAAGCTGAAACAGACAAAGAATGATCGTTACTGAAGAATGTTTCTACTTTATGAAAAATAGCACATTTCATTGAAGGTAAGAGATGCTAACTCAACAACAAAAACTCATTGGAGAGAACATTACAGATACATATGTATATGCATCCCATAACATATTTCCAATAGAACCTGTAAGAGGACTAAAGAATATTCTCATTATCTTTCTCTTCCCAAAGTGGTCCATAAACAGGGTGGATCTTATTTAAATCACGATATACTGTAAATGCAAAAAATTTGATGTTTTTTGATTATTTAAATTTTTTTTAAAATTTGAACAATTTAAATCAATTTGATTTTTTAAATCATTGGTTCTTATCCACCCTGTCCATAAAAGATATAAGAGGTGCTACTGAACTGTCAATTTCTTTTAACACAGCTAATGAAATGGTTGCATGAAACTACCTATGTTTCTCTTCTGTGACTTCAGTGCTTCTGCTTCTCACACTAGTTGTTCTGATAATAAGGAAGTTGTTGTACAGACAGCCCAACAACATATGCACACTTACTTCCCAACCTGTTACTATAACCTGCCTGGCTGCTATGAACATAATAAACATTAGTATTTTCTCATAGGAAAACGTTTCCATTCTGACCTCCAAATAGTGATAGTGGTATTCATTTTAGTGTACCAGAGATACATTATTTCATTATCTTAATGAATTTTTGAAGAAATTTCTTCTAGAATATCCTCCCTGCTCTACAGGTCCACCTCATAAATTTCCAAGTTAGCTAAATCCTCCCTTGCATTTCACAGATAGAGTACAACAGATACAACTTTTGTGGTTAAAAGTGAACTGTCCTTACATAATTTCAAGGGGCATGCATTTGTAAGGAAAAAGCAAAATTACAGAAGCAAGTACCTCTCAACTGAAATGGGAAACAAAATGAAAAAGGAGGAATGAGTAAGTTCCATTAGAATGCTCAAAATAAAGGGCATTAGTTATGTGATATATGATTTGCTGTAGCACACTGTAGAAAAGAAAGAAAGAACAAAAGGGGGGGGAAACAGCCTCCAACTAGCAAAAATCTTAAATGCATTTTCTTTAAAACAGAATGTATCCAACTCCTCTGTTTTACATAACTCTATCATCTGTAATTAAGATTATCCCATCAGTGGCTCATATTAGAGCAAGTCAAACAATTCAGAATAATCAAGTAGCAAAGCCACTTTAGGCAGCAATGTGCGTAAGGCAGGGGAAGGGGTGTTCAAATGCCACTCATTGCTTAAAAACTGAACCAAACCAGACCTTCTTCTGTATATACAGAATGAGGATGTGAAGCAGAGAAGTTCAAACTAGTCTTCTTTGTGATAAGTCTATTTTGTCAACAGGGAATCTTTATGTTAGATAGAGAAGAATTGAAGATCTCTTCCTAGCTGTACTCTGAAATGGCACTTTATGGAATGCACATAGGCAGCTATTATGGATACTCACTTAATATCTTTCCACCAAAACAAGGACAGAGTTCAGACTTCACCATAAGGGTGCTAATGTCAGAGCTGCCAATAGTGCATATGTAAAAGTATGCTGAGGATGTTACGATTAGTTCTCTATGCTTATCTCCTCAAGCATTCAATAGAGGGGTGGTTAGAACTATCCCTTCACAGAGTCTTAGCTGAAGCATGAATGCCAAGCGCCTTCTAAACATTTTAAACCTGAATTTCATTTTTTTTAATGTTTGCCTTCCTTTTTCCTAAAATAAACTTGGAAATTTTGAAAATAAGAAAAATGTTGAGTCTTCCTTGAAGGAACCCTTGATTTTCAGCAATGATTAGTTAATATCCAGCAGGTATCATTCTTACAGAATTATTACTCCTTCCCTTCTGGACTTAACAGCTAACCATAGCCTTAGTGCCTTTTCTAACCTTCACCTACTCTCTATTTTTTTATAGCCCTTGTTCCTTGCCAACCTTTTCATCATCAGAAGAAATGAATGTTGGAAGCAAAATTATACTAATATATTCAGATTAATGCTGGCATAAAGCAAGAATGAGATCTTGGTTTCTCTACTACAGAACATAAGGGTTGAAAAGGGTTACCACAGAACACTTATAGATTGTACAGTATGCTACCAGTGTCATCTTCAGGCATGAAACAAGGAAGAGCTGATTATACATTGTGGCATTTTCCGTATCATTTGTAAAACTGAGGCAACTTTTACAGCAGCACTGTGACAGATGCCTGTGTGTGGTTTTATCCCATAATACTGCTGCAACATTTAAAGGTCCAGAACCAAATACATACTCAATCACATGGGTCTTCTCACTTGGTTGGAACCAGGAACAATGACAGGTTGTATGTGTACTATGTGACTAGCTATCTCTCACCACACTCTTGGCCATTATATGTTACAGCATCATCTTGGACTGAAGCCACAGAAGAGGGTTTTTCCAGTGCTATATTTCTGTAAAAAGGACACCTTGATGATCCTAAAAAGAGGGAAGCCTTATACACTGGGACTTTCCTGTAACATTCTACAATCTTTCAGGAAAGCAAGCCCTCTTGTTAAGAACCCTCACCGTTTGACTTCAACAATCATTAAGCATACATACTACAAGCAACTTCAAACATATATTAACTCAACTACTGTTGACAAAGTCAACTGATTACATGAAAGAGGCCTGAAGTGTGGTGTGCCTGTTCTAAAGAGGAATATTAGCACAGCCAGCTCCAATCTTGTGCCCTCGAGATGTGTTGCTCAATCCTTCAAACACACAATCTTTGATGAAATTCTGAGATGGCACTAGAAAGCTTGGATCAGTGACACAGCATGCGTGCACACACAGCTTCCAGAACCACTACAAAATGTGATGCAAACATTTTATATATCTGCAAGGTTGAGCAAAGAAGAGATACTGCGTTTTTCTGTGTTATATGCTATATATACAGAGTCCAGTGATGCAAATCCACACATTATACTTTGTTTAACTAAGCAAACATATTGGCTGGAATATTGCTCAATTTTCCCACAAGGCTTTCCACAATTAAAGGGATTTCACTGGAGCCTCAGAACCTTTGGGGAGTGGGAGGAGGTTGGACATTTTTTTTTCCAAAAAATCATCATGCCTGATGGCATCAGCAGCCTTAAGTAGTACAGCTCTGTGAATAGGATTTGAGCCATTATCTGCAAGACTGAAGTATACATTAGAGATGGGATTTTCATGTTAACCAAAATGGAAAAACATGAAAGACGCTGTTACTTTCATTTCTGTGTTCTTTCAGTTATTCCAGAAAGAGACCAGAAATGCTTCATGTTAACAAATGAAAGGGACAGAAAAAAATTATCTTTTCTGTGTTTCTCACTTTTGTTTACCCCTGTCTTTCAAACAGTCAAATCATTTACCCCTGTCTTTCAAACAGTCAAATCACCTAGCAAATTTTTCATCCAATAGTGTAACAAGGCCTTGCTGAAATGGGTTTTTTTAATCTCCCTCTGGCCCTGATTTCACTGGGGGACTTCCTCAGTTCATTGGCCCTTTCCTTCCTTGAGTTATTTTTGCTGCCTGCCTGCCACTGCACTGGACTCAAGGAACAGAAAAGAAGAAGAGCATCAAGGTAATGGGGAGAGAAGTCTCTCCATATTCCAGTAGTTTTGGCTGGGCAGGTCTTTCTTTTGCCTTTTTTTGCTTGCTTTTCTTGGTTTCTGGAAGGGAGTCTCTCTCTCTCTCTCTCTCTCTCTCTGTGTTTCTCTTTTGAGGCTGCTTTGTTGCTTTGGTGGCTGCTGTTGGTTTTACCTGCTTCTAGAGTAGACTGATTTTCTGTTGCCTTGCCTTTGGAATTTTATGATAGTTTTCACAGGTTCTTTAGAGATTTTGAACATGTGCCAGGTAGAATGTGAATGGGGGAAAAAAAACAGAATTACCTAAAAGAGGGTTTCCCTTTTGTGTCACAAGGACTGATGGATGGAAGTCATGAAAACAAAAGAAACCCCCAGCCCCCAAAGAGCCCAAAATGAAACAAAAATAATAGCTATCAACTCTATGTCGTATGTGGGAAACATGCACTGACTTTTCTTGAGATAGAAACTTCACTTTGCATAACCAAAAGGCTAAGTTGTGTTGTGTCTGAATGAATTATTCTGGTAAATTATTGCCTTCAGTATATGTTTAATTTATATAGGATATCAGTAAAGTTATTCACGAGCTTAATTATTTTATAGCTAGGATTTGAGGTTAATGGCACAGCAGTTTCTGAGGCCGTATTACACCAAATGGATAGTCAATAAAACCAGCCATTAAAATGAGGAAGGAAAACAATGCCATGAAATAGTCTCCAAGAGTTTAAGGGTTTTAACAATACAGTAAGTATCAGAATCTGTCTGCACAAAAACATAAGACCCATTCTGCTAAGAAATACCTCCAGGTAATCAGCGTCAGGATACACACAGAACAGAATTCCTCATATATTTCCTTCAGATACACAGCAACAGAAGTGGAGACACATGCACACACAGAAAATACGACCGTCTGAAAATAATTATTGTGCAGCACTATATAGTATTGCTTTTATTAGGGAGTGGCCGATAGCACATTCCACTATCTTTCTCCTGTATTTTGCATTCACCCTGCTCCAAATCTCCTTTGCACTCCTCACATCAGCTAGTGTCCCTGCTCCTAGCATTACAAAGAAGCACACACAGAGAAAGAAACACACACACAATTGCCTTGAACTGCTTTTTCCAGCCAGACAGAAAGAGAAGCATGGTGTTGCTTGAGTGCTCGCTCTGTTTCTCCTCATTTTAAAAGGGCAGGACTGTCGGGACCAAAGAGGGTATGAACAGGATTTCCCACAGTAAACAAATACTCTCACAATAAATACATATATAAAATAATCAAAACAGCTTTAAGTGTGTGTGCCCAAATTTCTTTAGGGCAATGGTCAGATTAAATGTTTTGAAACCATGCTTCTTTCCAACACTGCAATCTGCCCCATGGAGAAAAAGCGTTTGTACCACATTTGCCAGGCCCTTGCCATGTGCTGGCGCAACCATGATACAGGGATCTCACGAAGCCTGAGCCAGGGCCACACCTGCTGCCTTTCCTTGCTTTAAAACAGTGGTCTCCAGCCTTGGGCCTCCAGATGTTCTCAACTCCCAGAAATCCTGGCCAGCAGAGGTGGTGGTGAAGGCTTCTGGGAGTTGCGTCCAAGAACATCTGGAGGCCCAAGGTTGGGGATCACTGCTTTAAAGAATCAGTAGAGGTCATGGGGTCAGTGCTACACGGCTAACTTCAGCTGGATAAAGTATGCCGATGAATAGTGAGGATTTAACTAGCAATGAAAACCAAACACTTCGACACACTTGTGAAGGGAAAGCAAAAACGTTACTCCACAGATGTGGCAGAGGGCACCTCTAAAACAAGGACACAGGCAGCAACAATGTGCCCCCACATCTTCTCCAGGTCCACCAATCAATGCACACAAGGTGTATCCACTTCAAATGCAGGTGAAAATCAGTGTGACTATAACTTACCTTTATGCTAGTTGACTGTAACTTCTGGAAAAAATACCTCTGGAATGACAAGGGGACTTTCAGCAAGGCAATGACTGCACTGCATAGACAAGCTGTGTGCTGGAACAAGACAATGCCGAGTCAGATCAAAATGAATCCTTCTAGTGCAAGTATAGGAAACAGTGTGTACTTTTGAGTATGAGCACCACAACTTGCTTACACTTAGGAAGAAGGCCAAATAAGTGTCATCAAGATTAGGAGGCATCAAAAAGACATGAAAAACTGCAAGAGATCCAGTTTCTTTCTGCGTAGAAGAGATACCAGGCAGCCCTTCCAGGTTTGGTTTAAAATAATTTGGGAGACAGCACAAACCTGCCCTTCTTCCTAAACTCTCTCTTTTTCCTAAGTATTTCACATGAGCAAGAAACTAAGGGAAGGGAAACTGACATACTTCTAAAGGAAAACAACTTAATTTACCCCACAGAAGTGGCAGATTGCAACTCTGAAGCAAGGACACAGACTGTCTATATATACTTATATAGGAGGTGACATTAGAAATTCTCTATTCCACACGCAACTTTCAAAAATATATCTATATATAGACATATCTTCCATAGATCTCTCTCCTTCTCTATAAATATATTTATAGAAGGAGGCAGAGATGCATTATTTGGCATTAAATTTGGTGATCATAACAACAGCTTTGTCCTTATGCCAGACAAAGTGCCCACACACTCTCTGCTACAAAATGGGGGCACAGAAGTGGCCAGCGGAAAAAAAACACAAATATACGAAGAGTCCTGCTGGATTAGACCAGATGCTTATCACAGCCAACTTCACATTCCAACCAAATGTCACTGGCAAGGTGAAAGGCAAGAGACAAGGGCACAAATCTTCTGTTACTGCTGCTCAAAAGATATCATTGCTTTCATCAGTGAAGTTTTGTGCAGAACTCCATGTAAGAAGGCAGGTTAGCCTATATATTTATCAGCTCAGCATATAAGACATCAGAAATCCTGCTTTCTTCTCAAAGGGGTCGTGGAGATGCCCTGAATTCCATATCTGAAACCCTTAAACAAGAAGTTTTCATCTAGACACAAGGAATTACTCCTCACGTTGTATTACATGTTTCTGCAAACTAGTACATGTATTCTTGGCCCAGAAAGTGAAACACTGCATTAGTTTTACTGAAACATAGTTTAATACATAAAGTAAGGTGGAACATGGCAGATCATTTTTAGGACGTTCCACAGATAAAAATTCCAAATGACAGACATAAGAACAGCAGGATCAAGAGTGTAGCAAATAACTGAGGTCTTTAAAAAAGAGAGAGAATTACATGCAGAACACAGAACCTCTAATGATTTATTAGATGTGGACCAAAGCTTTAGTCAGGTACTTTCAATGAAAATCTTTTCACTGGAAGTACATGATTAAAATATATGTAGCAAAACAAGGAATCCAGATCTAAAAGCTAAAAAATTATGTATAAGAAATATGCTATTAAGAATACATTGGTGCTAGTGATCAAAATACTTTACAAGACTTTAGATTTATTACAATGGAAAATATGCTCTGATTGTGCACAGTACTAAAATAATAATTACAACATTTTAGCATATGTGGTCCTTAGTTTGATACGACTTCTGAATTGTACTGAATTGTATGAACATTGGTTAATTGTCCAAAAGTTTTAAGTCATGAGTTCTTCCCTACATTCCTACAATTTCAGCCAATAAATTGTGAAGTGAATCTTGTCATTTCTAACTGAATGATCTGAAATTGCTACTACTTAAAAATCAGCAGGATAAATCATTTTTAAAAAAAATAGTGTACTCGCAGCACAAAATGATCTTCCAGCTTCACCTTTCATTGAAAGATATTGCTTTCTGTCTCTGTGCTAGAAAGTTATTTGGTGCCAATGAAAACCTGGAGACTCAACGTTTTGACTTTCTAATGCAAAGAAACATACAAAGCCATTATTTCAGAAGTCTCTTTGAAAAGATAGGCATTACTTGCCATGTAGGATACAGGGGTGTATTTCCTATTCAGTGATTCGACTTCCTCCAATACATGAGTGAACACCGACATCATTCTCCTTTCATATTCACTCGTGGCGTGTGCCACTCCAGCAGAACCATATTCCTGAAAGCTATAAAAGAAATTCAATTCTAGTGATGTCCAGAAAAATTCTCCTTAATGTGCCCTCAAAATCTTGTATATATCAATGCTGTGGGCTTTCTGTTTGGGAGGAAAAGCAGGAGGAACAACTATAGCCATGATAATAGTAATGGGTAGTATAAAAATATTAATGATAAATAGTATCTGTACAAAGTTACTCGGCATTACCCAGGATCTCAAGAAGAGTAACCTGCTCTGTTTCTTTCCTCTTTTCAGTACTAGCCATTACATCACCCTTCACATCTTTCTAATCATTCTGCATTTTATACTAAATATGTACATCCTTAGTTTTCCTACTGGATTCCCTGCACATTTTAATTAAAGATTTCCAAACATATGTCAGATACACTTATGTGGCGGCTGCCTTTGCATCACGTTTGGCATTTTAAAGAAAGAGCTGAATACATGGAGAATGTCCTTTATAAGAGTATATAAACATGTGGTATCTCTTCTTCTAGCAATTCTGCAATTACGTATGGATGCCGTCTACAGAGAGGGCATTCTCTTATGCTGGTCTGGCAAAAGAACAATGTGCATCTATTCATTATGGGCAATAATTTGTTCCTGTGCTCAACAAAGCATAAGAAACACCCTTCTCTACTATAGCCTGGGAGAACAGAGGAGACATCTCCCAGTGGGCTTTACAGTATATGAAAAGTCAGTGTGGCTTTGGCTGCTCCAAAATAAAGCGTAATATGACAGACTCATCTTCCCTTCTCTGAATTCTATGACAAGCACAGCAGATGGGGAAAGAAGGTGTTGGGAGAGGGGGAAAAGCTACTGCTGGTGAACAAGAGAAGCCAATGCCACACATATGGATCTCTGCTAATGATCTGCCTGAAGACAAGCATACACCGTTAACTTTAGCAAAAACTGAATCTTAGCAGAATGTTCTTCTCTACTCCTAAAATACAGTCAACCCCCCTCTCCAAGCCTTCAAAATGTCGCTGCTTGGGTTGATTTCTATTTTGTTTTATTTTTTTAAATTTAAAGCTGCCTTTTCATCAAACACAGAGAATCAGTGGTATCTTTCAGCCGGCAGTGGATTCGCCTGCAGGCAGGTTCTCAACTGGACCTTTAAAACAAGTCAAATAAAAAAAAAATGTCCCTCCTCGCCCCTTCCTGTTTCTTCCTGCTTTTGGGTGGGCATTTTCAATTTATAAAATAAGTGATGCAGTGTTATCCCCGCTGCCATAATGAGTCTAAAAATATTCTTTTAACTTCCTCTGCCTCTCCGCAGAGGAAGAATTTGATTTGTCAATATTCTCAAGTGGCTCTCTTCTTAAGCCACTTCATAATACTGGAAATTCCCAGTGGTATCCTAGCTGCAACAAAAAAGTAGAGGCCCCTGACAGGGACCGAGAAAAGTGCAAGTAGGAACAGGTTAGTTCATTCCAGTGATTATGTTGTATGAGCACCAGAAAAAGGAGCAAAGCAACTGTTCTAGACTGTGCTTCAGATTCTTATGGCTGAGAGTGAATTGAAACCCAATGGTGAACTGAACTGTTCCAGACCTCTCTATAGTATTCATGAATTTCAGGACATACGTAGGGGTTCCTCACATTTTAACAATATAAAAAACACTTCCTAAATAGAAAAGGTTTGAAAAGTGTTAACCTACAGCACCTCAGTTTTGCACAGGTGCAATATTCCTACTACATTCAGATTTAAAGGAAACACAGAAGGTTTCTTAAAGGATAGGCTGCCAATCTAGAAGATAATAAAAGTACAATTTCAGCATTATTTCTTGGGTTTTAATTTTTCTAAATCTTTTCACCACTCTCAAGCCAGTTCATTTAACGGTTCACTTTGAACCCAGTCATTTATGAACTTTAATGCAACCAGGACTTCCTTTAATGGACTTTTGATATTTGTGTTGAAAGGAATATTTATTGCATATTTATACTGTATTTATGTAAACAAGGATGTGTTGAACATTATAGTATTGCCCTTCCACAATGTGTTGAAAGGAATATTTATTGCATATTTCTATTTATGTAAACAAGGATGTGTTGAACGTTATAGTATTGCCCTTCCACATTTTTTGTGATTCATCTCAGTTTGAAGTTGAGTCACATTACAACTGTGGTATAATGCTGACATGTTAATTTAAGTTAATATTTTAACAAAATACCAATGAATTGGGAAAAGCAAAATAAATTACACATTGCCTAGACAGGCCTTGAATATATGGGATAGTCTAGCCAAATCACTGTTTAGCTTACTTAATCATCTGTAAAAAATTCCAGTGTGGTGTAGCGGATAGAGTAACAGACTAGAACTCTGGAGACCGGGGTTCAAATTCCTGCTCAGCCATAAAAACTCACTGGGGGTGGGGTGTGTGACAAACCCAGACCTACTGGGATCTGCCACACGTTAACTAAGCTGCCACCAACCATTCCCTGTAAGAAGTCACACAGACCAGGGATGGATTTTCAAACAATAAAAAGAATAAGGTTTATTTAAATACACACAGGGAAAAATAAAACGATCAGGTGAATAAGATAAAGTAACGTGGCTTATTCTCATTCATACATGCATACAGTTTGGTTCACACAGAACCCTTAACTTGAAGCCCAGACCCTGAACCTATCAGTTCTGGCTAACCAACAGACACCTGAACCTATCAGGTTGGTACTCTGACACACAGTAGTACCCTGTCTGACACACAGACTCCCACACCAGCTTCTTCTTCCCAGCTGCTGCTTCGTCACATCCCAGCGTCGTATTCATACATGCATACAGTTTGGTTCACACAGAACCCTTAACTTGAAGCCCAGACCCTGAACCTATCAGTTCTGGCTAACCAACAGACACCTGAACCTATCAGGTTGGTACTCTGACACACAGTAGTACCCTGTCTGACACACAGACTCCCACACCAGCTTCTTCTTCCCAGCTGCTGCTTCGTCACATCCCAGCGTCGTTCTAGCCAAATCACTGTTTAGCTTACTTAATCATCTGTAAAAAATTCCAGTGTGGTGTAGCGGATAGAGTAACAGACTAGAACTCTGGAGACCGGGGTTCAAATTCCTGCTCAGCCATAAAAACTCACTGGGGGTGGGGTGGAACTGGTAAAACCACTCCTTAAATATCTCACTTACTTGGAAACCCTATTAGGGCTGTTATAAGTCAGTTCCGACTCGACAACACAGAACACACACACACACACACGTTAAATTGTATTTCACTGAAAGCGAAATAGGTCTTGTCAGTTTAGATAAGATAGCCTTTTGGGGGGCAATATTGGTATTTCTCTTATATACTTTTTGTTGTTGTTGTTGCTGTTTTTGTCTTTTCCACAGTTAAGAAGAAAAAAGAAAAATGTAAGCAGGAAAACCATCATTATGGCAACCAAAAAAAATCTAGAAAAATGCATGGAGTATCTTACTCAAATTAGCAAGTTTTATTTACTTTTCAGTGAAATACAATTCACATTACAGATGAGTAACTAAACTAAAGGGCAACCTGAATAGATTCCCCCATATAGTCAAAGCCTTGGATAATTTTATGCAACATGTAAAGTTGGAAGTAAACTACTATTGGAGCCTCCTGCGTTAATAAATGTTTTATGTTTAAATGGTCATTAGTAAAAAAAAAAGGGGGGGGATAAGAGCCTGAGGAAAATAATCTTGCATCACACTTACCTGGCAGATTCAGGATCTAAAATCAGAGCTTCAATTGCATGTGATATCAATAAGCAACTCTGCTGCTGTCTGATACAGCGTTAAAGAGGAACACATGAAAGATATGGCATTATATGGCAAAAAAAAAATAGAAGTCATAAGTTATTATAATCAGCATGGCATTTTGACCAACCTCTGCTCATGGCAAGGACCTCTAATCAATTTCCTGACAGAGGTACTAGTACAATGTGCAGGTTCATGTACAGAGTACATGAAAGCAAATACACTCCTGTTACACATACACAGCATCCTTTGTAACGTAATGTGAGACGTTAATGTAATAGTTTGACAAAGTTCCAGGGAACCTGAGCTTGCATCTTTGTAAGAAAAGAAAATTCCTTTCTCACTGCTCTGAGAGGGGGAGGGGAAAGACTAAAAAGACATTGACAGTTTCTACTAAAACCAGAAAGGCTTGGGATGATGAGTTCAGGGGATGTGATCTAGCAACATTGGCGAGCATCCCAAAGCAGGTATAGGCCACAAGCAAGAGAAATACACACAACATGGATGTTCATTACAGAAGTACATGCTCAGAGCAAAAGGAAAAGAAAACTTGCCCCAAAAGGAAGGCGGCAAAGAACATGAGCCTCTTAGATAGCAGGGTGAGGGAATCAGCAGCATCCTGTTCCTCGTGTTAACAAAATCTACCTGTGACCCAGTGCCCAACTCCAAAGGCAAACAGGCATTCTTGCAGGCATACCATCTGAACAAAGATATAATTTTACTTGGCACCAGAAGTGCATGTTCTGCATGTAAGTGTTGGCAGGTTCAATTCCTTGCATATTAAACTAGTGGAAAAAATGAAATATCTAGAACAGTAAGAATGGGGAAAACCTCAGAAAGCCATTTCTAAGGGATGGATTCGAGCTGAGTGGGCTTTGCTAAACTCGGTAGAACAGTGCTTCCCAACCTTGGGTTACCAGATATTCTTGGACTAAAACTTCCAAATGTCTTTGCCACTAGTTGTGCTGGCCATGATTTCTGAAAGTCACAGTGCAAGAAAAATCTGGAGATCCAAGGTTGGGAACCACTGCTCTGACTTGGTGCTCTGACTTGGTAAAAAAAAAGTCATATCTTTAGCAGTGAATTCTGTCTAGCAAATTGCAGTAATGTTTCATAATGCTTTTAAAAAAAGAACTGGCATGCTTAGCTTGTATGAAAGCTATGCTTGCCCCCCAAGTTTGGCACCTCCTGAGCTCCCACATGAAATCCTCAGGTGGAAGGCATGACTATTTTGGAAGAATAACCAGGCCCTTTGCTTTAAACAGCAGGATACAGCTCCACATTCCTCAGAGTTGCTGAGTCTGCATCGAAGGATGATTGATAGAGATCTCCGTATCTTGCGGCCAGGTTCCTGAATTCTTCCATGGAGAGTTTCATCTGCAGCAGAAGTGGGGGAAGGGGTGGGGGCACACAACCAAAACAGAACTGATGACGGATTATACAGAAAAATGATGATCTTTTATTTTAAGACATAGTGAGAAAAGATGGAGCAAACAGTGCCCCCCTGCATGGTGCCCTCATGCCCTCAATCAACTTGCAAGGCGTTAATCTAGAGACCCCCCCCCATTGAGAATTACTAAATTTTACCCTGCCTCGCAACATAGACTCACTCAGAGCTGCTTAAGCTTCCTTGTTTTCTTTGGTTCCAGGCTCTTGCTAGCCCTACAGAAGAAAGGACCTTGAGGCTCGACAGGCTGATCCAAAACCAGCTGAAACACACTGTCTGTGCCTTAAATTTGCCAGGGCTTTCTGTGTTACCTTCCATATTGAAGCGTGCCTAGCTGGGCTTCCTCTTCTCCATCTATTTGCTCTGAAGCTTTATTTCATTGTATAGAATACATTTTGTGCCCTTAACAATTCCTAGTAATTCACCCATCCACTTAGGTTGAGATGAGCATCTCTTCAGAGTTTTTTTGGGATGTTTTTCTCTCTAAAGCTTATTTGGCTAGATCTAATCTGACTTTTAGATAGTAAATGGAATTTATCATACTGTCCCAGATGCTGGAGAATTGAGAGTTAAAGACCTTGAAACAAAAATACTGTTAGTTTTTTTAGCATTATTAACTTGTTCCGATCTGATAAAATTTTTAAGTATATTATTTTGGTTCCTTCGGGGAATTTTTATATGCTGAAATAAAGGATGTGTGTGTCTTCAAGTTGGTTATGACTTATGACAACCCTAGTAGAGTTTCCAGGAATGTGAAATATTTTTAAGGGATGGTTTTATCACCCCACACTGACTTTTCATGGTCAATTAGTGTAATGTAGTTACACTATATTATCCACTATATTAAAATAGCACTGCACTGAAATAAAGGATATTTATTTTACAGCTTGATATACTTTCTGTACACTTTAAAGCAGTGGGCACAATTATTCACAAATCCACAAGCTTAATTGATTTTGAAAAGATCAAATGACCAAATCAAGCCAAACTGAAAGCACACCACACACAGAGAGAAAAACATGCCAAGAAAAGCACTCTTGGGAAGACATTCTCAAGCTCTGGGACAACAACAGTGAAGGCTGTGCTTCTGATAAAAGCCATTCCAGTTCACATACAAGATGGAAAACTCTGCAGAACCTATCAAAGAAGTGACATACACTTGTGGAGGGGGCTGTCTTTGAAGATGGTTCAGAAACTCCTTTGTTATAACAGCTTCACTGGCCACCAGTTTGTTTCCAAGCTCAATTCAAAACACTGATTATGACCTATAAAGTCCCATACAGCTTAGATCCAGGCTATCTCTAGGACTATATCTCCACATATCACCTCCTCAGGTGTCTTCCCGGGAGCCTCTCCTCTTGGCTCTGTTACCTTTACGAATATGCTTGTCAGAGACCCCATAGATCAGTGGTGGTGAACCTTTTTGGGCTCGTATGCCCAAAATGGGGGTGGGGGGTGGGAACAGCAGGTGGTGTGTCACCACCACAATAGCGGTGGACCTGGACCCGGAAGTGGCAGTGTAAGGGGGAATCATGCTGACGGACCTGGAGGACATGGAAGTGGTGGTGGAAGGGGGAATCCCGGCTGAAGCCGCCTCATGAGGTTTGGCTGTGGGCAGGCGGGGTAGCGACCTATGGCTCATGTGCCAGACGAAAGGGTTCCACATGCCAGCTGTGGCACACGTACCACAGGTTCACCATCACTGCCATAGATGGCCTTCTTGGTGGCTGCCTCAAGGTTATGGAATGCTCTCCACTGTAAGATCCACCTTAGCAAGAACAGTATTATCTGTACCATGTCAACAGCAAAAGGGACCTCACTTTGCAATGAACTAGTCAAAGAGCTTGCTGTATTTCTCTTAGAAGTCCAAGCCAGGATGTGCTTTTGCTTGCACAACAAATGTACTGGACTTGCCTGATTGGAAATGCGTCCACACCGCTGGAGGTCACTGCCTGAAGCCATAGCAATTGTTGTTGCAATGGCAGGTGGGGGGCTGGTCTTCAGGCTATTGCAGGTGCAGATGAGCTGAAAAAAAGCCTGAAGAAGATCAATCCGGAGCTTAACAAACCCACACTGGAAGCTCAAAGGGTTAAGAGGTGTGCTGGCAGCCTGGGGAGAAAATAAACAGTAACATGCAAATACAGATTAGAGGTTGATAAGGAGGGTCAAGGTAAACATGTCACTAAGTAACAACCTTTCAATAATGCAGAAATAATTTCCCCAAAGGAAAAAAGGGGATTTGCTCAAGCTGGATAATTTGTTAACAATCGCAAGAGTAGCCCTGGTGGTTTTTATTTACGAAAATCAATCAGGGGTTCATTACTCTCTGTAGTCAGTATTAACAAATTAGGTCCCGCCTATAATTTTTGAGAATTTCCAAGACACTCTTATAATGGTCTGTAGATTAAAAAAATGTCCAGAGGGGCAGTTGTTACTTTCCAAAGATGCAAATCAAAGAAACAAGCAGCTGATGACAGAAACCAGGATGGAATGCAGTCATCAGTATTTGTTCCAGCTTCAGAAAAAAAAAATCAGAAAAAGGCTGCACAGTCTCCAAAACAATACAAATGCAGGAGCAGGTGATACCTTTATTAGACCACAACACAAAACAAAAGAAATCAAACAAACAACAGCAAACTTTCAATGATAATTCATGAGAAAATGGTAATTTTCTCTTTCATGAGAAAAAGAATTATCATTGAAAGCCTGCTGTTCGTTTTATTTTTTTAACAGTCTAATAAAGGTATCACCTCCTCCTGCATTTGTTCCACCTTTGTGATGGATATAAAGAAATATTACAGGATCATTCTGTAGTTAAGCCCAGGACCTTGCAGCTCTTAATGTGATACTGGAATTCTATATAGAACTAAAATTAAATTTGGGATGGGACAAAGCAGGCAGAGGAAGTACAAGCTGGACCCTTGTAAAGGACATGGAGACACATAGCTTTTACACTTTCTGCAGTAGCAGCATTTTCTCAATAAACATCTTTGCCTGAGTTGCGCTGAAACTGATAAGCAAGCTAGTAAACAAGATCTGCGATTACCATATCCACTCAAAGGGCAGGGCCAATGACACAGGAAACAATCAAATCAGTATCTGCCCAGGGAAATGAGAAAATTACAAGGCCACCTTTACAGAGCTCCATAAAATGCTCTCTAGGTGAACAAAAGATTCAATCTACAGCACCTACGTTTCAAAGGCAAACTAAATTTAGCATCCATTTCTTTGTACCATAACTCTTTTACTGAAATTGGGACTGTTTTCATCACATTAAGCAATTAAATAATTTTCTGCTCTGTATAAACTAGGTACCATTTTATTTCTGCTCACCTGAGCTAACAAACTGCTATGTTCCGAGTCAGACACATAGCCATTCATGTTGCATCATGGAAGACTACAGTGACATAACAGAACTAGAATGCTAAATAAGAATTATGCCCATCATCTTCTGCCAAAAAAGTGACTTTGAAAGACAATGTATGTACATATACTGCCATTTTTGGAGACACCTGGACAAGTTATCTCTCACAGCTATATGTATCCACACTACCTCTACTGGTACTCTTCTGCAGGCTCCCTCTTTAATGTGTGCAAATGAGACCTTGTGTCTCCAGAAATACATATGAAAGGACAAAAGCAATGCTGTGTTTATTTATACATGTACATTTCACTTTTCTTCTAGAAAGCTCCAACTATCACAAGCCAGAATCCTATTATAAACAACTGTGTAAGAGAAATTGTGTGTAAGAGAAATAGTGCAAGTAATTTTTTCCAAGTCTTTGCCTTCGTGACTAGACACAGTGGCCATTTACTTTCCCAGTGAGGTGGTACCTATTTATTTACTCGCATTTTTGCATTTTGCATGCTTTCGAACCGCTAGGTTGATGGGAGCTGGGACAAGCGACGGGGGCTCATTGCGTAGTGTGGATTCGATCTTACGACTGCAGGTCTTCTGACCTTGTAGCACAGAGACTCCAGCGGTTTAACCCACTACATCCCTGCACCTGTCCGAAAGGTGGCCATAAAAGCACAGTAAATAAACAAATAAAAAATGTAATGACAATGATATGCAAACTTTATATATCCAAAGTGCAAATCATTTCCATCTTATTCTGCGACAGTGTTCCTTGTTCAACAGAACAAGTTAACATCCCTTGCTGAAAGAACACAGAAAAATAGTTCCACTCCAGCTAATACAAAATTTCATTAAATAAGACAAGCGAGAGTGAGAGGGTTTTTTCATTTTATGGAAGGGAACTCTGGCACTTTCTTGGTTACATAAAAGAATCTGAGCTTGTTCAAATCAGCACCAAGATTGCTTTTGTTCAGACTTCACTCTTCCACTCTTGTTCCAGAGAAAATGCAAGTACCAAAGCAGTCAGCATCTCAAAAAGCAGTAGTTTACAACTGATGCTATTGACAGAGCAAATTGCATGTTACTGTATTAATGAAGTCATTGTTCCAGTAAAGATATTCATTTCTGCATTGCCCACACTGCCTGTTCAATAAAGATTTCACTGCCAATGTGTTAGTGTGGACAGTCTACCTATGGAAGAACTTTACTGCTGAAACCTGAATACCTAGATCTTGGTTGCATATAGGGAGAGTGTCTGCCAGCTGAACCTGATGTGTCAACAGGAACCATGAATACATGACTCTGTTATTGAAACAGCTGTAGTTTTTGAAGAAGTAGCTGTGCTCATTTGTGAAAGCACATCAGACAAAATAAAGCAAAACAAAAACATTGTAGAATCACAGAATAATGGAGTTGAAAGGGGCCTATGAGGCCACTGGGTCCAACCCCCTAGTGAATGCAGAAATCCAAATCAAAACAGATCTCTCAGATGGTTGTCCAATTTTCTATTGAACGCCTCTAATGATGGAGTGCTCACCACCTCCTGAGGTAACTGGTTCCACTGATGTACTCTTCTAACAAAACAATATACAAAAACACTGTAGCACTTTAAAAGTATACAGATGTCTGACTTTCAGAGATATAATTCAAAGCATTGGCAACAATGCTAAAAGTCCTTAATTGTTTGAGACAAGGATATCTGGTCTTTCTTGTTTGGAGGTCTCCCTGTGTATTAGAAAACATTCCCAAAGAAGCTTCATTGGGACAAGGGAGGGGGCTTTTTCAGTGGCTATGCCAAAGTTCCAAAACTCTCTTCTAAAGTAGGCCCCCTCACTTCTTGATTAATGGCTTCCTGGAAAGCTGGTGAAAAAAAACTTTAATATATAAATTTTAAGCTGTTGCTCTACTGCTTCTTTTAAAAAAAATATTTTAAACATTTCATCCTCCTGTTGTAGCTTTATCTGCTGTTTTAGTAGATCCTTTGCTGTGTTTTAGTATTTACTGAGCTTTGTTTCTGCCTTAAATTGTAAAGACGTTTTAGTTGTTAAACTTACTGACCAAGATCTTGTTGAGGAAAACTGCATGTGCAAACATTTCCCTCCTGTTACTTGCTATCTGCTGTGTGATCAGGCATGCAATTGTCTATTCAACTGAGGCATTTGGGAGTGTACAGTAAACAGTTCTAAAGAACAGGTAGCTTGCATGGTTACCCCCCCCCCCCCGGAAATCAATACTCATGTAAAATAACAGGGTTCTGACCATTATTTCTGCTGCTAGACAACTTCTGCTCACAGGAGGGAAAACAGGATAAAAAAGTATTCTCATAAAATAACACTTACAAATAAATTATGGAGTAACTATAATTCTTTAAGGGACGTGGTGGCGTCGTGGGCTAAACCGCAGAAGCCTGTGCTTCAGGGTCAGAAGACCAAGCAGTCGTAAGATCGAATCCACGCGACGGAGTGAACTCCCGTTGCTTTGTCCCAGCCCCCGCCAACCTAGCGGTTCGAAAGCATGCAGATGCAAGTAGATAAATAGGGACCACCTTGGTGGGAAGGTAACAGCGTTCCGTGTGTAAGTCGCACTGGCCATGTGACCACGGAAGATTGTCTTCGGACAAAACGCTGGCTCTATGGCTTGGAAACGGGGATGAGCACCGCCCCCTAGAGTCGAACACGACTGGACAAAAATAGTCAAGGGGAACCTTTACCTTTACCTTATAATTCTTTAAGAAAGCAGGAATGTCAGATTTCAGTCCTATTCAGATGTAGGACTTCCTTAGAGCACGACTTCCCAGCAGACCCTCTCACTGTTGGAAATCTGAGGAGGCATTGGATCCAGATATTTTAGGCAGAGCACTGGAGTTCTTCACACCAGTTGTCTGTGTTACTGGTTGGTTTTGAGGTCTACCCCCCTCTTCACCTGCTGGTCCCACAGGAGCAAAAGGGACACTGCACCAGGAATGAGCTTCAGGGCCACTGGCAAGTTGCTCAGCTAGCTGAGCATGGGTCTTCTTGGGAGGAAAATGAGGTTCATGTAAGCACCTGTCCACATTAGGGCATGGCAGGGAGTCACAAAAAAGGGGATCCTCCTAGTCCTACATAAGCTCCACAGTCTGAGCTGAACAGCTCCCGCGAAGTTCAAAAGTGCCCAGTGCTTAGCAAGTTGTGATCCAGGAAAACAGATAAGGCAATTAGACACTACTGATTTTTTTCCAGGGCCTTTGGTAGCTGTAGCTAAACACAGAATCGGTTGAGAGATGAAAGCTTTGACTTACAGATCTGCAATGAGTAATGGAAAAAAAGAGAAGAGTTTACACTGACCGTTAAGGATGCTATTCCTTTGTGATAAGATTTTAGTGACTTAGCAATGCAAGAAAGTGCTGAACTGTGATCATCCTCTTGCAGCTCTGCTAAACACTGCTCTGCATGGGAGAATTCCTTCAAGCTGTTCAGCCAGAAGTAGAAGTGCTCAGAGGCCACCTGAGTCAGTAAGCTTTGGTAGAGCTCTCTGGCCATGCCATGGTTACCCTATGGAAGGCAATGGGAAACAGGTTATCAAAACTGCAGAACAATCTCTGTAGCCCTTAAACAAATTGCTTTACAGCACTAGGGACATATCTGAAACAAGCTCAATCCATGCTTGCAATTTATAGGCTGACTATAACCAAGATGTAAGTCTATGAAACCTGTTTAAAAATTTCTTCCCACCACATCCCACCAAAAGATGTCCCTGTTGGAGAAATGTGATGAAATGCTTGACAGATTGGTATGCACCAGGCTTCTCCAACCTGGTGACCTCCAGATAGACTGGGTCCCTAGTCCAATCTTCCCCAGCTAGCATAGCCAGCATCTCCCAAATATCCTGGGTATAGTCAGAGCTGCACAACATCCTCCCTGAAAGTTGAGAACAGCTGCCAGTCAAGTTTGACAATAATGGGATAGATGGACCAATAGTCTATGTATAAGGCAGCTTCCTGTGTTTCACAATGCTCCAGCATGCAGCCAACCTTTTTCAGCAGCCTGATTTTGAAAAGTCTGTTTTGAAAAGTAACTGTAGAGTTTCACCCAGCATTAACTGGTATTTGGCTCCAAAGTGATTTCAGTCTGAAATATGGTCACATATTTAAATTCTACTTTAAATTATGCTTTCCTTGAAATGGACCAGGAGTTCCAGTACAGGGGAAAAAAGGCAGCCTTCAAAACTAAATACAAAGAATTAATTTGAAGGAAGATGATGAGATCAGAAAACCTTATTTATAAGCACTGATGACACATACCATTCTGGAAGCCTGCCTGGCTATCCTGTAAGCTGTCCAGCCATTGGAGACATTTTCCAGCTGCTGTTTGATAACAGTTTTTACATCAGAGGATAACGTCTTCTGACTGGCAACAAATATCACAGTAGCAAGAGAGACCTAATGAGGGGACAATTAAGAAAACAAACCTTTTCAGGTACAACAAAGATAAACTGCTTTAAGACTAACAACAGGAACATCAGGCTCAAAAGCACCTTATTCCTCCTAACTTAAAATAATTAGTACTCATATCGCAATTTATAACCAAAATATAGTTACCAATGACAATCAGCCCTCAGTCTGAAATCCTAGTTTGTGAGAAAATGAGGGGTGTCAAATACATGAACCTCCAGATGTGGTAAAATGGCAAGTCCCATCAGCCCCACACATTAAGCTAATGAAGGATAATGGGAACTGTATTCCAACAACATCTGGATGGTCTCCAAGTTGTTCATCTCCACCAGGGCTTGAAACATTTTAGAATGTCTCACCAGTCAGTCAAAAATTTCACCAGTCAAAATGACCGGACTACATAGCCTTGCAATTTATGTTTAAACTTAAACTTTAATTTAAACTAGGCACTCTCTACATAACAATGCAGACAAACCCAAAATAAATATAGCTTGAGACTTGGGTTGCTTTATTACCTGCGTGCCTGTGGGGCCATGAAGCTTGCATTTTGAATGCCTTTCTTTTGAATGTCTCCAGCAAAAATAAAACTGACATCAAATGCGCCTGGCCTTTTAAGGAGCCAGGTCGTTTGGTTGAAACTGGGAGCAGGGAATCTCCATATTCTCCAACATGGGACTACTCTACATTCTCCTGCAGAGCTATATATCTATGTGCCACTCGAACTCTCTTCTAGCAAGAAGAGGGCTGTTTTTCCTTTTGCAATGGGAAGGAGGAGGGGAGGACTGCATGATCAGAGAGAGAGAGAGAGGGAGAGAGACTGAGGGTAAGGAGGCAAGGAGGGAGGGAGGGAGGCAGTTGTGGCTCGTCAAGCAACGTTTTTTCACTCGTCACAGATGAGTGGATTTTTCAAATCCCGATCTCCACCTTACGACTGAGGGTAAGGAGGCAAGGAGGGAGGAAGGCAGTTGTGGCTCGTCAAGCAAGCCCCAATCTCGACCTTACACACCCTGGTTCCAACAAAATAACAAATTATCATTTGCTTTAAATCAGAAATGGAAGAGTTCACACTCTGCATGGAGGAGGGGGATAGGGAAAAGGAAGTGGGAACCCATGATTTATTTTCACATCAAAACATTATTCTGCATTCTTGGTTTTAAAACATCACCAGTCCAGCCCCCAGCACAATTCGCCCTGGGTTTGGACATGCTTCCCTAGAGCTGCCTCGTGGATTTCAGCAGCTCTGGACTACAAACTTTGGCTAGCAAACATGTTAGTAAAATGTTATTTTATTAATTCTTGAGTACATAATAAAGAATAAGAAAAGTGAAAGGTCTCTCCACTTTAGCATCCTGTTTGCCACAATGATTAATCACATGCTTCTTTGAAGCCCAGAACAAGGTCATCGGGGCAGGATCCTTCCCCTGCTGTTGTTACAGTTTATATTGATTTAAATCTATCTAATTTTACTTGGAAGACCAGCAATCGTAAGATTGAATCCACGTAATGGAGTAAGCTCCTGTCGCTTGTCCCAGCTCCTGCCAACCTAACAGTTCAAAAGCATGTAAAATGCGAGTAGATAAATAAGTGCCACCACGGTGGGAAGGTAATCGCATTCCGTGTCTAGTCGCACTGGCCACGTGACCACAGAAACTGTCTATGGACAAACGCTGGTTCTATGGCTTCGAAAAGGGGATGAGCACTGCCCGCTAGAGTCGGACATGACTGGACTAAGTGTAAAGGGAACCATTACCTCTACCTAGGCATCCTTCCGTCTCAAGAGACTATGCTAACGTGTTCTGCATAGACGACTTGGAATAGCATCTAGTGTGACTGAGAAGGCCAACTCGAGAGTGACAATCCCTTCCACACTCAAGACAAATACAACCCGTCCCCTGTCTAGCTCCCTGATTTTGCTGGTTTTGGGACTGCCTTTTTGCCTTGGCCTTGCCTTGGTCTCTTCAAATTGAGAGAGGCCATGATGCACCGCCTGTCTCCAGGCTGAACGCTCAGATGTCAAGGTTTCCCATCTGTTGAGGTCCATTCCTAAGGCCTTCCGATCACGCCTGCAGATATCCTTGTATTGCAGCTATGGTCTCCCTCTGGGGTGATTTCCCTGCACTAATTGTCCATACAGGATATCTTTTGGTATCTGACTGTCAGCCATTCTCACAACATGCCCAAGCCAACGTAGATGTCTCTGTTTCAGTAATTTTACTCAAAATCACTGTGATTTTAGATGTTTTTCATATTGATTTACTTGCCTTTTTTCTAAATTAACTCTGTAATTTTCCTGCATGCTCTTCCACTTGACAGTTTGGGTTCCCTTTTCTGCACATTTTGGAGCCCTACAATAACTTTTTTTTGAGATACAGGAATGTTTCCCAACCTTGGATCCCAAGAGGTTCTTGGACTACAACTCCCAGAAATTCTGGCCTACACAGGAATTTTATTCCAGGTTCTTGTGGATATTTTTGGAACCACTTTGGAACCACTTAGATACAACGATCTGAAGTGTTTCAAGTATGGCTGCATTAGAGTTGTGAAAAGGCATTATGACATTGGCTTTTTTCTCATTAATGCTTTTCCTCATCATCCCTAGCACAAAAGTTCCTCCTTTCACATTTTCACTGATAAATCTATCTAACATGATTTAAATATCTCTTTTTGATCTGTCACCATCAGTTCAGACACCCAGCAATATATCCATGAAACAGGAATTTCTGTCCTGATGTGCGTCACTTTGCAAAGGACCTTCTGGGGTGCTTCATAAGCCACTTTCCTTTTCACCATCCTGAACAATTTGGCGTAATTATACAAACTTGGTCACCTCTCTGCTGGTCCCTAAGGTTAGCCCTAAAGAATCCACAAAGGAACACAGAAACCATGGAATAAGATCAAAATTAAAAAATAAAGACCTGCTCATTTTAATTTAAGGAACCAATAAGGAGGCAACAATATCGTACAAGTCATTTGCTTTCCATTGTGCTTGCTAAAGCAGAGACAATCAGAATGTCCACGTGAAGCAAGTGCCATCTAATGGCTGGACAGGGATTAAGGATGTGCGTGCAACATTGCTTAATAGAAATTCACACTGAAATTGGTAGAATTTACTTCTCCTGTGGGCACATGGTTCAGGTCTTAGGTGTAGATTTTTTAAAATTTTCTCTGCTAGCTGAATAACAGCATCTGTTTAATACCAACTTATGAGAGGCGCCCAGCTTTGACACGTTCCATAACTTTTATTAGAATCCTTTCATCTATGGCATTGCAATTAAAATTCTTGTTTCTAAATCACTCCATTCACTTATTCCTTGTGCTCTTTCATCAGTTGCTGAGCTACATGTCCTCAGTTAAGCCTCCAAAGACTGATCTTTCCTCTTCTAGGCTGAATTTAGTGGTCTCGTCTGTGTTTGAGCCCTTCTCACTGTCAATGCCTCTCCTTACACAGACAGCAGGAAATGTCTTACATAAACAGAAGGAAACATGGTACAGGTCTGCAAACTGTTCCTCTACAACACTGATTCCCAACCTTGGTTCCCCAGATGCTCTTGGACTACAACTCCCAGAAATCCTGGCCAGCACAACTAGAAGTGAAGGCTTTTGGGAGTTATCACCCAAGAACATCTGGGAACCCAAGATTGGGAACCAACCCTCTGTCGGAACAAGACCCAGGGATGAGATTTATTTATTTATGTATTTATTTGATGCAATATTGCAAAATGTCATACTTTCTACTCACTTTACAAGGACTGCTAACTGAATGTTACATGAACATTAAGACTACATCTCCCCCCCCCGCTAGCATTTCTTCAGTTTGAGTCACCCAAGCCCAGCTGCTATCATCAACAATGACCCTGCATCAATCATTCTTACCAAAAGCTCTTGCTGTTTATCTGAAGCAGATCGTCCAATCATTTTGTAGAGATCCATTAGGTCTCCCAGCATTCCATCCCCCAAGACAGGCAACTGCATGGCAATTGCAGCCAAGCAATGGCAAATGTGAATCCTGGCAGCATCCTGTGCACTGTGCAGCTGCGTCAACAAGGATTCAACAATCGACTGGCTCAGGTGGGGGCGACTCTTGGCCAACTTCACCATGCAAGTGAGTGTGATCTGCATTAAAGTAAACGACACTTTCTCAGTATTCACTGCACAACGATCACTTTTCAAAAGGAGCTATATTTTGGTCACAAAATTCACATTACTCAGAAACTACAACACAGCAGAAAATACAGAAGTCGTTCATCAAATCATCAAAGTTTCTAAACTGAAAACTATGCACAGGATGGTCATCAGGGACACTTCTTTTTTCCACCACTTTTTTTAGCATAATATAAAAGACTTAGAAAACAACTGTTCATTCCACACTCCTAGTATATGAGAAGCACTGGCCCATTTTGGCCCTACCACTAAATTATAGTATTCTATTAATGAGACTCATGGATCTCCCTCTCCACTTGCTTTTCTCTGGCTCACTATGAGGAGACTGGGAGCATCCACTTCCTGCTTTAAAATCAATCCCAGTTTATTGCTACATCCAAGAACTATGAACTGTAGTTTATCTGGGAATGGGCAACTAGTACTCATTGATGTTGCTAAACTACAATTCCATCAAGCCACCACAGCCAAGGAGGAACAATCTAAGTTACAGTCCATCATCATCTGGAGAGCCATGCTGCTCACCCAATGCTTAAATAATGGGTTTTTGAAACAAGCTACATTCAGCTATGTTTCTGAACCTGTCTTGTTCCAACTGGTCATAATTTAAACTAATGACAAGTTCCCAGCACAAATGTCTAATCTGCTCCATGCAATCAATGGTGGAGTAATTGCAAATTACCTCATCTTGTTGTACTAACCAAGATGGGGGAACATGTGGCCCTCCACATGACGGACCACGATTTCCATCAGTACCTGCTAAACTAAGAAATGCTAAAGGAAAATGGATGTAGCAGTTCATCAGCATGTCAAGGTCAAAGACTCCTTTGGTTTAACATTACATTCGAAAACAGGCCACTGAATGAATCTTACAATGTAATTTGAAGCAATTTACTGACTGCATTTAAAAGAAGGTAGATAAAAATCAATGCTTTAAAAATTATTTGAATCATTATTTGAATCAAAATTTAAATCATGTTTTAATTAAAAACCCAAACTTTTAATTTAAATAGTTAAAAAAAATTTTTTTAAATTTAAACCACAATTTAAAACCCAATCTGATTTAAAAGAAGTTTAACAATACAAGCTTCAGTGGTAATCCTGTGCATATTTAGACGTTAACTCCCACAAGACTCAGTGAACAATTATGCATGGAATAGCACTGTTAAATCCTATCTCTGTCCCAGCCTTCCAACTGCAATGTTTTCACTTAGGCCAGGCCTCAGGTTGCATACAACCTAGGCATGTACGGCATTACTTATTGCATAGAACAGCTAACACTTGTCTCAAGTATTTTATGGCCATTTATTCTAGCAAAAACTACTGCACACCTTGCATTCATTCAAGTACTTATGGTAGCATACAAACTTTTAAAAGAATAAAAACAGAAACAAATATATGGGGTGAAATCCCAGATGCACCGAAAAGCAGATTCTTGGTAGGAGTAGGGAACACCAGAGTCAAGATACACAAACGTCAAAAGGAAGGCAAGGATAGGCAGGACATGTAGGGTGGTGTCATGAAAAGCAGTAGCAGGTTGCATCCTGCCATTGTTCAGAGCAGGAAGCAGCCCCAACCAGAAAGTTCTTTCCAGGGAAAAGGTTGACTTGCTCTGTCATATTAAAGTTCTGTAACTGGTCCCACTCCCACCCCCACCCCATTCTCACCAGTAACAGTAACATGAGTCAAAATCAAATCTGAATTAAGCCACATGAGGTCAAATCCTCTCTCATGCCTTAATCCACCAAAGGTCCCACATGCATATACAAGACAAAAAGGTTAAGAACCACTGCCTTAATCCACCACAGGTCCCACATGCATATACAAGATGTTTTGGACTCTTGATTCTTCACTTTTTAATAAGTACATCCTGTAACATTCACCTATAGATTTCTACTTTTAATGCACAAGGTTACCAATCTTAGTCTACAATCAGAATGCAAATGAAGCATTTCCGCTATAAGCTTCTTAAACTTTTACACCTCGTACACAAATTAATATGACAGACAAAAAAAGATTTACATAATTTACCTTTAAAGTTGCTTGAGTACCTGGACTGCTGTTTTGGCTACAAAGGACAAGGAGGGATTCAAGGCCAAAAACTGCATCCTGCTCCAATGGTAAGAGATCTAAGACAAAAACATGTTAAGCCTCATTAGTTTAATGCTACCCACTCTGGCAGTCTTGACTGTGAAGGACAACATTTATGAGAGATGACTTTTTAAATATTCTCCCTCCCACAGATCTATAAATCTGAAATACAGAGAACATGTTATTGAAAAAACATGGCAAGGTCAAAAGAGATTCAAAACCAAACAAATGCAAATCCAATCCAATTTAACACAACCACGGATGGTGACTCCACCTGAAACACTGTCAGCAGGATCTTGCATTAGATTCTTTCTGCCATGGGTATTACGAGAGCAATTATTCATTTTGTCTACAAACCAAAAGGCAGTGCCATCTTTAGACTTTTTTTCATCAAACTGGCATGAAGCAAAAAGCCAGATCTTTGGAGCCTGCTCAATCAGTTGCATGCCCTTCAATCTTGGCATCAGAGACTAATCAATAAATAAAATTTAACCAGCAATTACAACTTCAATTAACTTGCTGATTACACCGAATGGTATTTGAAAACCAGACAATTACTCTGAAAGACTGATGGCCCCTGTTACAAAAGTCAGAAGTGGGAAAGCTCTGGTTAGGAGGCATAGTACCTGTGGAGACAAGCACAGAAAACTCACAGGAGAAGAGCATAACTGGTTGGTGAAGCCACAAAATCAGCCTAGCATTTCCAGTGGGTGGAGCAGGCGAGCCTGTCACTTGCCATGCTTACAGTGGGCTGGAAGTCTATCTTCTTCCTTTCCACTGAGGCCAGAGGCTTCACTTTTTTGAAGAAGGGTAAGGAACAAAAAGATTGAAGACAGATTTAAGCAGCAGTGGCCAAGGAGATTACAGATTAGCTGGCTAATCTGTAATCTGGTTGCTTGAAACTCAAACACTAGGAGGAGAAAATAAAAAGATAACTCCGAAACGAGCTCTGGCACTTTTTGTGTCCCTCTTTGAAATCAATGTTAAGATAAAAGTGCCTGGCTTTCAGGTTCTTTACTTGCGCATATAACTCAAAAGCCTGAGAAATTGTGATTAAAATGGCACTTAAGTTTCCTAAACATGGTGAACCTTAGGAGAAATCATGGACAAAAGTTCAAGACCACCGTGTGTTTGTAATTACAAGCTTATAACACAGAGTTTTCAACCTAAGAATGATGTGCTAAATTCACTGAATTTCTATTGGCTTGGTGGTAGAATGATACAAAACACTTCTGGGGGATCAGTAAGAGAAAACAGCTAAGTTTAACATATTTGAGAGCTCAGGCTCTCAAATTTAGCAACAAATTTTCAAAGGAACTCCTGCTTCCAAGAGTAAAACACAACACAACACATTACACAAAATGCGGAGGAACCCCAGTCTGTCCATACTTTCACACTTACCTTTATCCTGACAAGAAGCAGCTATATTTGTCAGAACCCGTACCCCATGAGCAGCAATATCCTGGTTGTTATAATAGCAGCACTCCTGTGCTAGTTTGATGAGATCAGATGACCTTGCTGCGGTAGCTGTTGCTCCTAGATGGGAAGCAGAGGGACACTTCTGAACACCGCAGCATTGCGAACTCTATCAAGGACTTTCTTTTCCATACTTCAAGAATGACAGAAAGTAGGCAACTGTTTCTGTAATGCTAAATATTGGCTAATCTCGTGGAGTAAGTTGGTGTGTGATTCTACACTACAATTTAAAAAAATGAATTTATGAAAATTCCCAAGCTTCTTCAGCTGGGAGCCATCACAACCGCTGTGCACCTCACTAGATTTGCATACATGCAAAGCCTTCAAGACAGAAATGGCACTTTTCATCCCACTGGTTGATTTAGTTTCCAAAAGAAGGCGAAACATGTTTCTGTTTCTCCCACAGAAAGACTCTGTACATCTGAGAGTGCTCGAGGAGGGCAGAAAGACTGGATTTTGTGTAAGTTTTCATGAGACATTTTTAGAAGGCACACTCTGAATGCACAGAGGTTGTGGGGAGAAAATACCAGAGACAAAGAGAAATAATTGGGCTAGCAAGCTAATCCAACATTTCTGGACCCCTGCCTGACACTGTGCTATCCTTCCAAGTCTGTCTTCTGGCGACTATCCAGGTCCTCTGGGTTCATCCTACACCTGATTTACACCTCAATCGAGGAATACATCCATCTCTGCATGCTGCATTTGGGTCCACCTCTCTATGTATTTTTAAATGCTGGCCATTCTCCAGCAGCTCATTATCTCTCAGTCTACCTGGCTTCAAAAGCCTGTTGCAAGGTTAAAATGCTTGCCCAACCTCCTTGCAAAAAAGCAGGACATGAAGTAATACATCATTTGTTCAAACCCAGAAGGACCACCAAAGGTAATAAATCGGACTTTACAGGGACTAGATCAAGAGAGAGAATTCATTCAAATGAGCCTGGAGGCTAAATGTGGCCCGTATGTTTAACTTGTGCTGTACTGTAAGCCCTGCACCCTGGCATGTTCTCAGTTAACAAGTGCAAACAATGTTACTAGCATGCAGGGCTGTGGGCTTGTGTACATACAAGAACAGAGAGAGGAAAAGGAAGATCTGGAAACAAATGAAGGGGCAGGAGCAGTATGAAATTGAGCCACACCAACAATGCATTTCGTTAGACCTGCAGACTTTCCTACACCCATTTGGCTCTTCAATTTTTTTTTATTGAAAAGTAGACATTCAGTCCGTAACTTCAGCTATTAAAATCAGCTCATAAAATTATTAACAGGGCTCACAGGGCTGAAATGGACTAGTCATACTCAGGTCTGCAAAGAGAAAAGAATAGAAAACTGTGCTAGAACTGGACTGATCTAATTTATTCATACCTGGAGCAATGCTGAAGTACTGCTTGATGGCTATCGTTCCCGACAGCGTGGAAAGTACAGATAGCATGCCTAGTTTCAAGCTGTCATAAGGGGTTTGAAGAGCACATTCACAAAGTGCCTAAGACCCAGAAGAAATTATAGATTTAGTCCAAGGCAACCGTTCTCCATATGAAAAATAACAAAAATCCTCAATATATAAAGAACATGTTTTGACGATTCATATGTATACATCATTTCATCAAACACATCAGAGTTAGCAAAGCATCTCTGCTGAAATCATTTTTGCTAGTAAAATTAAAAAATTCTTTGCAGTATCAAAAGCATATTACATCCTGATGTAAGGATACAGTGGTGCCTCGCTTAACGAGGATAATCCGTTTAAGCGAAATAGCTATAGAAGAAAATCCTCGTTAAGCAAAATAAAAAAGCCCATTGAAATGCATTAAAAACCCTTCAATGCGTTCCAATGGGCTTAAAACTCACTGTCCAGCGAAGATCCTCCATAGGGGCGGCCATTTTCGCTGCCTATAAAGCAAGGAATCCGTCCTAGAAAACAGTGGGGGGCCATTATATACACCCGGCAGCCATTTTGAAACCTCACGATCAGCTGTTTTTAGATCGTCGTAATGCAAAAATCGTTTCCCGAAGCAGGGAACCGATAGTTGGGAAGTGAAAAAAGCCCATTTAAAACATTGTTTTGCGGTCGCTTTTGCGAATGCAAAAACCTAACTGTCAAGCGATTTCCTCGTTAAGCGAGGCACCACTGTATGCTAAAATTGCAAGGTTTTGGCTTACATTATTCACAGGACATACATTCATGCACATTGGACCACTTGGCTTCTCCCATGATCAGGAACAGCTAAGCTAATGACAAACAAGGAAGAAGCAGAAATTTCCCAAATAAAGTCAGCAGGCACATCACAAATCTAAATCCAGGATTTTAGGTCGGCTTCCTGTTCCTGGCTTCTCAGTAGTACACCAAGCCATGGTTCAGACCTAATGGGAAGCTTTTGTCTCCTTGCCACTTACTGATTGTTATAATATCTCCTGGTGGAAAAAATACATAGGAGTAAAGAAAATGTGACATTGAGATAAACTACTGTATATAGCCTAAAACTGCCAGACAAGATTAACCTGGAGGTTCCTTTGCTCACAGTTTACACTCTAGGGCCTAAACAAGGGATGGGCAACTTTGGTGGGTCTGAAGGACGTATTTTTTCACCCAGCCCCAACTATGGGCCTCATCAGGCCTGGAAATGACCAACAATTCCCCCAAACAGAATTCTGAGAAATCCCCCTTTAGCCTTCCTAACAGAAGGGAAAAACAGAGGTCTCCAAAAATGGAAAAACAATTTCCCCTCTTTTCTTTTTTGTACTATTGGGGGCATTACACTGCTCAGTGACCCCCCCAATTACCCTTTGGGGCCACCATTTGACCACCTTTGCCCTACACCACACTGTTTTTTTACTGATGCCATTTGAGATACAGAAAAATTCTGCCTCCACTGATCCTCATTCATAAGACTATTTCACTTCTGCAATTCATCACTTGAAGCTGTAGTCACTGATGATGAATACATCTGTATGGAATCACCCACAGAAGCAACCTTACTCAAAAATAGATTACAGTAGCGCCCCTTATCCATTATTACAGGTTAAGCAGGAGCAAAAGTTACATCCAGTGGGATTGCCTCAATTACAGCATTTGAGTCCAGAAAAGGTTGGGGTGATTTTGCTTGTAAAATGCCATGCAAATTGTTCCCAA